GGCTATTGATCAACAGCCCGAGATAGTAAATCTGGTTCAACTGGTTACAATGGCTGAAGCAATGGCGAGTCCAAAAGAAAAACCGTTGTGGATGGAGGCGATGACAAATGAACATGCGTCTCAGCTAGCACACATAACTGGTGATTTAGTTCCTCCCCCGAATGATGAAAAGGTGATAGGTGGTATGTGGGTCCTGTGTCGCAAACTCAATGAGGCGAATGAGGTTATCAGATTTAAAGCCAGATGGGTCGGTTTTGGGAATCATCAAGAACCAAACAAACACTACTACATGACTTACGCATTGGTCGGCCGCATTGAAACATTTAAATTGATGTTGTCAATTGCGGTTACATATAAATGGAACGTTTTTCAGTTTGATGTCGAGACGGCGTTCTTACACGGCGAGATGGATGCGGATGTATATGTTCGACAAGTAGCTGGTTTTGAGGTTCCTGGAAAAGAAAATTGGGTGTGGAAATTAAATAAGTCATTGTATGGGATGAAGCAGGCTCCAAGAATGTGGAAGAAGCATTTTTCCGGTACACTCAAATCACTCGGTCTCACTCCGTCAATCATGGACGATGCTTTGTTTTTCAATGCGGATCGAACACTTTTCTTGCACATCTATGTGGATGATGGCCTCATTGTAGGTCAAAACAAGTCTATTATCAAATCATTTCTGTCACAACTTGAGAAGGCTTATAAGATTAAAGTCAAAGAGAAACCAACTCAACATCTTGGGTATACTTTGGAATGGAAAACTAATTCGGTTGTGCTTCATCATCAGGCTTATGCAGAAAAAATCCTTAAGGCGTTCAACATGGAATCGGCTAATTCAGTTCGAACACCACTTACTACGAATGCACTTCATCAAGTAGAATTAGAATCAACGCCATTTGACGCAGCTATTATGCAGAAAGCTATGGGGTACATCAACTATTTGGCCATTCATTCTCGGCCGGATATTGCGTTTGCCACAAACTTGTTGTCTCGGTATTCTTCTCGACCTACGCAGCATCATTGGAGCCTAGTTAAACACTTGCTGCGGTATATCAAGGGTACAATCAAGTTTGGGATCGAAATCAAAGATCATGGCGTACCTAGAGAATTGGTCGGGTATGCGGATGCGGACTATGCAATGTCGAATCCGGATAAAAAGTCTACGACGGGCTATGTTGTGAAGTTTCAAGGGAACATTATCTGCTGGAAATCGAAGAAGCAATCTGTGGTGGCTCAGTCTACAACTGAAGCCGAATTTATTTCGATCAACGTGTGTGCTAAACAAATTGGGTGGATGAAGAACTTGTTGATTGATATGAAAATTCCGGTTGGGGTTCCATGTATCCGAAATGATAACGCTGGTGCTGTGATCATAAGTAAAGAACTTCGGTTGTCTGAAAACTCAAAACATATTGAAATTCGGTACCAATATTTACGGGATATTGTGGCAAAGAATCAATTGACGGTCGAAGACATTTCAACTGACGACATGATTGCCGACATTTTGACGAAGTGTCTTGGATTCATCAAGGTGGCTATTGCGCAAAAACAGTTACATCTTGTATGTGCTAATTAAGGAGGAGTGTTGAGGGATAATTAGCGATGCAAGGTGTGAGAGGTTGAAGTGACGTCTAGCGACACGCGTGAATCAGAGTGGTGATTTCAAATGATTACATCAGCATGGTGTGTGAGGTGGAAGGTTGGAGTTGGCTTGTAGTTTCGTCTCTTTTCTTTTCGCTCAACAACGTCAACGCTTCAAGACTCAAGACTCGAATTTCATCACGATCAAGAAGTCAAGAAGCGTCAAGGTAGTACTATATCAACATCAGATAGTACAACTATAGTAACTCACAGTTGACATTGATTTAACACACACAGACTCAACATAATCGAGCACACCAAGTCATCAGTTCAGGAGGAGGATCAAAACAATCAAATCAAGGAGCTATCGTTGTTTGTCGTTGTTTCTTTTGTTTGTTGATTTATTATTACATGATCAAAATTACTGAACTAAATAATTCTGGTAATAGCTTCATTTGTTCTAGTCCGTTATTGTCTCATCAAATCATTCTTGACCTGTTTAGTTTATACACGTTCTGCTATTTAAGACTGTTGGTATTTTATTTCTTTGTTGCTTCTCAAATCTTTCTCAGTTGATGCTAAAGGTCGCATGTGTTTTGGATGTTTTCATTTGTTTGTCTTGTTAAGTTTTTCATCTACTACTACTGGCTGTGTTGAATTGATTTGCAATAAAGAGAACTCGTCACATCATCACAATTTAATCTCAGATACCAATTAGTCAAGCTACATATACTATTTCATTCCATACTTCTGCTTGCTTCATCCCAGATATTGGTTATCTCATCTCATCTCATCATTCATCCTCTTCTTTTCATACAATATTTATTTCATACATCAATTATCTCATACTACAATTATTTCATAGTAAATTTATTTCATACTACATTTATTTTATTCTACATTTATTTCATAATACATTTCTTTCATGTATCCATCTCATTTCAATTCATTACTCATTGCTTATATCACCTACATATATATTTCACCACACAGATTTCTCATCTCACCTCAGAATATTTATTTCAGTCCTGATTATCTCATTTCTTTTGCACTACTTATTATTTTTATCACAAACAGAAGTTACTTCATATTTTCTCCTTTTCAACATGTTTATTTCACACTACACATTTGTCAGCCACATTTATTTCATAACCAATTGTCTTTCAGATACAACTTATTTCATACCATCTTCTTACATCAGCTGATATCTTACCACTAGTATCTGATCAGAACCACCCACATGTATATAGAGAATACCCTTTCCCACTTACTTTGTTCCCCATGCTTGCATTAGAGAAGTAAACAGATAATTACTTAGCAGACATCACTTACTAGTAGTTACCAGAAGTAATTATTATTGATTTTCCCCCAGAAGATAAGAAATTGAACCCAGAAACCATTACCCCCCAGAGCCTCATCCTTACCAGAATTCCCCACATCCCCAATCTCTTAGCAGGTGACTTGTACAGTCTCCTCCCAGATGTTTATAGCCATCTGTTTTGAGCTCCACACTGGGAACCCAAACATTTCAAGTCACAAAAGTTTGTGGAATGGTGGAAAATGGGTTTCAAAGAATGAATATGAAAAAATAATAATAAAAAATAAGATTTTAAAATTTGCGAAAAAGATAAAAGAAAATCAACTTTTTTTGAAAACTTTAATTTTTTGTTTGAGTGAAAAGTGAACACACAGAGGGCAAGTTTGGAACATGAAAAGGATGATTATAAATGAAAAATATTGATCCAAAAAAAGTTTCAGCATGGTGGGTGGACACCCTGCAGTCAAAATCAGTAGATTGCAGTACCAGAATGCCACATTTCTTGATGAATGACCCCCTAGGCACCCTTTTCAAACCACCAAGTAGTCATTTTTTTCCAAATTTTCACTTTTTATCATTCATTCCAGATCTTATACTATCACTTTGGACATTTCATCTTTTCCTGAAAGAAAAATTGAGGCTGTCAGTTTTTGTGATTTTCTCCTTTTTAATTTTTACAAATTTTAAAATCTTATTTTTTGTTATTATTTTTTCATATTCATTCTTTGAAACCCATTTTCCACCATTCCCCAAACTTTTGTGACTTGAAATGTTTGGGTTCCCAGTGTGGAGCTCAAAACAGATGGCTATAAACATCTGGGAGGAGACTGTACAAGACATCAGTAATAAATCTCATACTAAGATTACCCACAGAAATAGCCACACCTTTTCTTTAATTCTTAGTGTAAATCTCTCCCAAGCCTTGACAAGAGGGCAGCTTCATCAGCATCCAAGTCTTCAACTCACATTTTTCCATGTGTAGTTGTTCTTTTCCCCTCTAAGCTCTTTTCTTTAGCTTGAAAAGTTCCACACCGCTTGGACAAAACCATCCAAGGACCCGTCAGACAGGCTGGTCCAACCGGTTAGTCTAGACAGTGATGAGAAGAAATTCCCAAAGAGAATAGGTATGGAACATGAATGGACTGTGGAAATTCTTGGCATGAGTGTGATGAGATTGAAGGAGATAAGAGATAATTTCCTTGGCTTCATGTATATTTAGAAGAAGTACTAGTGTTTAAGCTAAGTATTAACAATAAACAAATTGGTTCAAGAGCCATGAGTTTCAAGTGCAGAGTTTATGGGATGAGGGAGAATTTGATTGGCAATGTGGAAATTGCATGAGTGGAATATTGGTGAGTTGGGTTTGTTTGAGTGACCGTCAGTCTTGTACAATTTGTAGTCCTTGCTGTACCTGATGGATCAGGATAAGCTTGCCAGTTGGGAATATGTACCTGATGAAATGCTTGTAATATATTGAAAATTTTAAAAACCATAACATGTTTGAGCATTTACACCCCATAATGTAGTAAAAATATACTAATACAATTCTGTTTGAACTCAAAAAAATAACTGCTAAAATAACTGAGATTTTTGAAAAAAAAAAATGTAGCACAGTGTAGTAGTGCACTGCTGGTTGGTACAGAAGTTAAGGAAACTTGAAATTTGTTTGAATTGTCCCAATATTAGACTTTTGCTTTAAGATGAATGGATAAAATTTCCAGATTCCACATGAGTGCACACACTCATGTCTGTTGACATCATTAAATGAAGTTTCAAATTAAAATTTCATTCACTCTTATCTTTGTTCAAATTTTCAGCCTGATGAAACTATTCTGTATCAGCATACATAATTTTAAAAAAAGTTGGTCCAGGTACTCTTTACAGCTTTCTCATCAAGGTTTCCAATTGAGTTCTTTTTTCAATGGTATCATAATATTCACATCAAAAGTTCATTACAGGATGACAGGTATTTTTAGGTTTGGTGCAATAATTCCAGTATATAAAGTGAAAGATCTTGTTGAAATTTGCAGAAATAATTTCCCCACTTGTTTTAATATCAAATAGTTCCACCACTTATTGTTCACAAATATTTTACAACAAAATGGTTCACAGCTTGAGGATTATTGTGGTAAGATATTTCTTCCCAATACTGCCAATACAATTGGCTAGGTTGAGGGTATCCTAGTTAAACTGTGATTCACTCAACCAAGTTAAACTTGGTTGCATCTCAACCAATGAAATGTGAATCCAAGGCCTTGAATGTATATTTCATTGGTTGGATTTCAACCAAGTTTAAATTGGTTGAATGCATCCCAGTTAAATTGGGATACCCTCAACCCAGCCAATTATGCTGGAAGTGCAATTTAATCATCCCTCATTTCTTGGTAGCTTCTCCAAGTGGCAATGTACATTGCTGCTACTCCCATTCCTTCTTTTTGGGGCAAATTAGTAGCAAAGAAAGGTTACAAAAAATTGAATTCAAGCACAAAGGAGACTGCAGAAAGCTCAGTGAGTTGTCTACTTTCAGTTTTATCCACCCAAAAGGGCCAATCACAGTAAGACTATTTCTGTCAACTTCTCACATGATTTTTTTTGAAGGGGAGTAATGTGGAAGAAGCTCCTCTTGATGAACAAAACATTGAAAGGATAAAGTTAAAGGCTTTCCCTGATCAAAGTATTGATGAAGAGGAACTGAAAAATGTGGGATGGGAAATCAAAACTCTTTGTAACCAAGCTCTTTTCATTCAAAACAGGCCATCACATGCCACAAGAGTGAGTCATCTCCATAAATTTCAATGAGAGACGGATTTAGGTCTGAAGCTTGAACAACACAACAGCTCGAGCAATCCATTTTGGTTTGGAGTGTAATTGAATTATATATGAAATTTGTAGAAACATACCCTTCAATAGCTCATGAGATTAAGTTAGATTTTGATTGGACTGAGGTAAAATAACCTCAAGCCCCAGCTATAGAGCAACCCAAATCCAGATATGAAGATCTATGGAGTTCTAGACATCATTTTATGTGAAATCTGATCAGGTACATCAAAACCACATTAGATTTAACAAGAATTTGTGATGTATTGCTTCCAAACAGAGCCTCAGTGATAAAATATGGTTGAAATACTTGACCATGATCTGCTAGCTTCATACCACATCTACCAGTTCTCACTTACTGCAACTGCACTCTCGCCATTCACAATTTTAAATTTTATATGTTTGTCAATCATGCTTTGATGCCTCCCAGAAAAACTATTTCATCACCCCCCCCCCCAAAAAAAAAGGAAAAAAAATGAATACCTCAGCTCTCTGCTTCAGCCTTCCTTCATTCTTTTTCCTTTCTATTAGGGGGTATCAAATATGAAGAATCTGAACTGGTCCTTGATTTTGATATCTTTGATTGGTTTAGATTTGTTCTACATAGACACAAAGTAATCATGACCATAGATATCCATAAATCTTCAAGATTTTTTATAATCTAATAAAAAAGTTAGGGTTTACACCCCTTCAATTGAAATCAGCATTCCATCATAAATATTTTGTTCTTAACATGAAGGAGGTTCCCATCAGAACAAAAAAAAAGGTTGCATTGGTGGAATTGATATTAATAATGCCTCTATAAGCTTGAGAATTGCAATGATCCTTTCTTGTTTTTGATGTGTTTTGAGAGAATTAAATTTGGTAGAAGAAGCAAGATAAGTAATCAGAAACCAAGGAAAGATTGATTGTCAGAGGAAACTTCCCTGGAGATGGCACTTTTGGACCTGATTTCAGGCACCTACAACACTGCAGAGAACACCCTCCACAACACCAATAATTTTGATGCATGTGGAGATTTGAGTACTGCACCTAATTTGTCATTACTGAACCCTCCCCATGGATGGCTGGTCACTGGTGTTGAGGGTGTGCTCTGATCAAGTTTTTCAGGTACCTGCAAACAGGTTCAAAAGGGACATCTCTAGTCAGTAAATCCAGGAGAGGCCAGGTCTGATCAACCATCTCATGAAAGAATTGATTGACTTGTAAGTGCTCCAGATCATAAATCCTTGAGAATACATCATCCAAGTAGAAGCAAAACAAACTATCTACGTCTTTGTGGATGCAAGATTCCAACAATGATATGATGGTTCCAACTTCGCAGCAGATTTAGCAAGCATTCAAGGATCACACAGGGCAGAGAAAGCAGGAAATACAGGATATGGTGGATGGATTCTGGATGTGAGCAATCTTGATTGTGGATTGATATATTGCAGCTGTTTCAAACAGGATTTCCACCTCATGATCAGTGATGATGATGATAGATCCCAACATTGTTTTTTTCAACCTGTGGTGATAGGAAGCCAGTCTTGCATCATGCTTGGAGAACCAAGTGTTCTTTTCACTATGTATGCTCTATGTATATGATTATGTTGATCTTTAGAGGGTCATATGAGAAGCTCTCAATCAATCAGATCATCAGTGCCTGCACCTCTGACCAGAAAAATATCCTCATTTCCTCTGGGTTTCAAACAAACATCAATAAATATATTTTCTTTCTTTCTTTTTAGATTATCTTTTTGTTATATCCTTACAATTTTACAGTACTAGATCTAGATGGTCAATGGATATCCGCTGCGGATATCTGTTATCCGCTGGCGGATACCCGCCAGTGCCAGTGGATGCGGTTTTGGGAGTGGATGTGCCATTTCTGCTGATTTTCCAGCAGATACCCCGGTATCTCAATGGATACCCAAGGCCAATGGCCAGCTGGAAGGGTTTCCTTCCAGCCGGTGAGAGGTACATGCTTGCTGACTGGAAGGAAACACTTCCAGCTGGCGAGAGGTGCATGTACCTGACTGACTGCCAACTGGATGGGTTTCTTCCAGCTGACGAGGTACATGTACCTTGCCAGCTGGAAGGAAACCTCTCTACCCGGCAAGGTAGATCCTTGCCGACTAGAAGGAACCCCTTCCAGCCGGCGAGGTGCATCCTCGACGACTGGAAGGAACCCCTTCCAGCCGGTGCCTCACGAACCTTTTAGAGGGCGGGTATCTGAGGATACCCGCCAGCGGCTTTGGATGCTGATTTCCCCGGAAAAAGCAGCCGGATATCCGGATGCAAAGCAACCATCTCTATATACAGTACTCCATCTACATCCATTCTTCTTCATCTTCTTCTTTTTTCCTTCTTCCTTGTTCTTCTTCCATTGATTGATCAAGGAGGCCCATGGCCGATCGACTCCTTCCAAAAGAAAAGACAAATTACAAACAGAATCTATTGTCCAAGGAAGCCATACAACAGCTTATGGATAGAAGGCCGATTTCGGCACTGTTCAATGAAGGGAAGAGTACTGGACTTTTGGACCGACAAACCGGGTGGATGAAGGGGGGGTGGGGGGAAGCTTGATGTTGAATGAAGGTGAACAGCCACACAGATAGATGACTGGTTGTTATACTTGGATAGTCATGCAAAACTGAAGATCATTTGTGGGTGGAGGAGCTCCCAATTGGTTGGATACATGGCCCAGTTGACAGCTGGGAAGTGCCATGTTTGGCCAGCCCATGAGGGACAACGATCCCTATGACAGTTGGATTCATTTGTTTTTTGGCCACTCTGGCTGTACTGTTTGGCCAAAGTGGCAGTACATCACCATATTTTCATTTTTTTTTTTTCTTTTTCATTTATTTATTTTTTTGCCATTAGCGGGGTTCACAATAAGCTTTTTGCTTCCTGAACCCGGCTGAAATTTTTCCAGAATGATGAAAATTAAATCCTGAAGTCCTATATAATGTAAGCTCCGAATCACAACTCAGGAAGCTTTCTTGAAGGCTTCCTGAGTGCAAACCAAGGCTCATCAAACTTGACAAGATTCTTCCTTGATGATGATCTGTTAAATACGAAGCTGAATGTTGTCCAACAATCAAGCCAAGGTTTGAGCGCGAGTATGTCGCTTGATTTTCTTGCTGACAACATCCTATTGTGTGAACCCCACTATTGTCCACACCACAATGCCTCCCTTAATTTGTTCTTTCCCACACCAACTGCAGAGTCCAGACCGACCACCAAGAAAAAGCAATCATCTTTATACAGGTTGATTTCTGATTCCTGATTTCTGATTCCTGATTTCTGATTTCTGATTCATGATTTCTGATTCATGATTTCTGATTCATGATTTCTGATTTCTGATTTCTGATTTCTGATTCCTGATTCATGATTTCTGATTTCTGATTTCTGATTTCTGATTTCTGATTTCTGATTTCTGATTTCTGATTTCTGATTTCTGATTTCTGATTCATGATTTCTGATTTCTGATTTCTGATTTCTGATTTCTGATTTCTGATTTCTGATTTCTGATTTCTGATTTCTGATTTCTGATTTCTGATTTCTGATTTCTGATTTCTGATTTCTGATTTCTGATTTCTGATTTCTGATTTCTGATTTCTGATTTCTGATTTCTGATTTCTGATTTCTGATTTCTGATTTCTGATTTCTGATTTCTGATTCATGATTTCTGATTTCTGATTTCTGATTTCTGATTTCTGATTTCTGATTTCTGATTTCTGATTTCTGATTTCTGATTTCTGATTCATGATTTCTGATTTCTGATTTCTGATATACCAAAAAACACAAAACACAAAACAAAAAAGAAAACGTAATTCAAGAAACAAAAACCAAAAAAATGGAATAAGAGAGAAGCCCGACGCCAAGACCCCAATAAAAAAAACAGAGAAGAAAAAAGGAAAAAAGGAAAAAAGAAACAGATGGAGGAAGAGTACTGATTACAGCCCCGAAACCACTCCCATGTCCTTTCTCTCTTGTATTTTGTTGTTGTTGTTTATAGTGGTGGTGGGTTTTTATGAAGAACAAAACAAGTATAGATTAGATTTTTTGTTGTTGTTGTTGTTGTCAAGTAAGAAATGAAAGACCACCATAAATAAATGAATAATAATAATACCGGGACAGATGAATCATTAAAAAAATAAGATGAATGTGTGAGTTTTTTTTTTTTAAAAAAAATCAACAACAACAACCAGAGCAGAAGCCGACCCGACCATATACAATGTATATATACATAAGACAGATAAATATGAAAAGTGAGAAGGCCAAGAAGAAAGAAAAAAATAGGGATAAGGGTGGGATCAGAAGTTGCGATTCCGATGGGGGATAGAGTAAGGGATAGAGTCGGGCGGACGAGCCGAATAGGAGGGAGGCCCAGTTTCAGCAGAATCAGGAAGAGGAAGAGGGGAAGAGGCGGAGGAGGAGACGATCGGGATATAGGGGGGGTCGACGAAAGGATTCCTATTATCGGACGGATTGCGGGAGTGAGTGTGGAGGATCTGGTGGGGGTTGGCGAGCGGGATCGGGGCCCAAGCGGCGGAAGAATGCAGGTCTTCTTCCTCGACCTCGTCCTGGGGAGAGCTCGGAAACGAGCTGGGGAAAAGCTGCTGCTGATGGTGGTGGTGGGAGGTGAACGGATTGGAAGGGTCGTCGGAGGAGAGGGTGGGGCTGATGGCTAATGGCCCGTCCGCCCTCAGATCTGTAGACGAGGAGGAGGAGGATTCGTAGGAGGAGGTGGTGGGCATCCGTTGAGGTCTGTTGGACAAAAAAAAAGGAAAGAAGATGAAGTTAGTGTTTGGTTGGAAGAAGGGAAAAAACAAGAAGGGAGTTCTTGGTGAGGTGTGTGGGACAGATGGTTACAAGAGGAGGATGTGTCGAGGAAAGCTAACGAAGGCGCATGCTCATACGACCTGGTATCCGTCCCCGCCCGATCGCTCGTTCCCCCAGCGGTCGCACCAACGGAAGAGGGAGCAAGAGGAGGAGGATTGGCCGTCGACGGCCGGCTGACGATCGGCAGTTGGTCGTCGGGAAACAGTCTGGTTCTGGCGAGCGCCATTTTCTTGTAGATGTAGAGCGCGGCAACGATGGTGACGAGGAAGGAGACGGCGAGGACGGAGTATTTGACGGCGGTCGAGCCCCCTCCGCCTTCCCCAGTCCCTCCCGTTCCCGAACCTTCATCTTGATTGTTGTTATCTTTAGAGGATGAGTCGGTGAAGAGGGTGCCCAGATATACCCCCGCCAGTTGCTTCGGCATCGAGATCACCGTCGCCGCCGTGAAGATCGTCAACGACATCCCCGTCGTCGCGAATACGGGGGTGACTAGATGGCCCGGAATGGCCGACAATCTCGCCAGAAACGCAATCTTTTTTAAAAAGGGGAAATCCATCATCAGCTTACAAAAAAATCTTGCAAAGAAGGTTGAAGAAGAAGAAGACCGACCCAAAAGCCGCCCTCCCGGATCACCACACACATGCACGCATAGTTGACGTCCTTCTTCTCCAGCTTGGCCGCCCGATGCGAGCACAGATATTTGAACGTCCAATAGTTCGCCAGTTCTCCGAGCAACGTGCCCAGCGACACGATCGCGAAGCCCAGCCAGAGGCCCCACACTAGTCCACACAATATAATCACAATCTTTGGGGCCGAAGGCTCGATTAGTTTAGCTGAAGACAAGAGGAGAGGAGAGAAGAGAAGAGGGTTTACTTCGTGGCCAAACAGCGGCGGGAACGAGATGATGAATAATACGCCCACCGGGATCAGCCAGCCTACCTCGACCCCATTCACTTTCAGGTTGCGCATCGACTGGACAAACGGGTGCAAGGCAATCACGATCTGGTGGTGATAAACTATCATATATCCTTCTTCAGTCCCTTCGTTTTTTTTTTTTGGAAGGAAGGAAGGAAGGGACAACTCAACTGGCAACAACACCGATCCCGATGAGGATCAGGACCAACAAGACGTAGTATTTGATCCACTCTTTCCGCAGGAATTTACTATCATTTTTTTTATTTCAAAAAAAAAACAATCACTATTTGAAATCGAAAAAAGAAATGTCTGGGAGATGTTAGAGATGTACACACTTGAGAGAGAGGGGCCCGAATGCAGTCTGGTAAGTTTTGTATCTGAATGAAGTCTTTGAATCCAGCGAGGAGGGTTTGAAGTCTTCATGATGCAGGTTATTATGATTACTAGTTTCTAGTTCGAATGAGTGCTGCTGTTGCTGTTGCTGATGCTGTTGATGATGATGGTGATGGGTTGATGATGATGATGAGGGTGGATAGTGTAGTGGTTGGTTCATTTGAGGATTTGGTTATTGTTTTTGGGTTTTGAAGGTGGTTTTGAAGGTTTTGAGGGTTTTGAGGATGGTTTTGAAGATGGTTTTGAAGGTGATAGTTTTGAGTCTGGTGGTGGAGCAGGTTCATCAGCGGCCACCGCGAGGAAGCCGAGCCTTTTAAAGGGTGTTCCTGGGTTTTGCTGCTTGGTTGGTTGGTTGGTCGAAGGAGGAGGAGAGATGGCTGTCTCCCAGTTCTGGCTTGGGTTGGTTGAAGTTGACTAGTCTGGACGAGCCCACCCCCACACTCACACCAAAAGCAAGCCTCCGGAGAAATTCGAATGCATTTAATTACATAAACAGCATAGCATCGCATCGCCACCAAACTCAAACATAAAATCATCTCAGCAATACTAAAGTGCAGCCGGAACCGCTCGGGAGTTCATGAGGTGTAATCTCTAGCCGGAATATACCCCATTCTAACCCCGGGCCTCTACAGCTCGGGTCGGCTGACTTGATCCAGCTGGCATCTGATGGATGCAACTGCTGGAGATGAACAAGATGGTGATGAGATGATGATGTCCATGGCTTGATAATCAAAGAGATCCCTGCAATCACCATTTATTTGAAGTGAAGGTCTGATTTTACAGCTCCCTCATGAGCCATCTTTAGTACAGGCTGTGAATACTAAAAGCTGCAGGTTTCCCCAGTACATTGTATAATGGATCAGCACTTCCCATCAGGATAACTTTGGGTCCCCCAAGTTGTGATTTATTATAGAGCCTCAGATCCCAGATTTCCCTGCCAAAAATTTAATCTAGACTTTTCAGGTCTTTATGTTGTAATCAACCAACTGGGAGGGCCCCAGAACAGAGGGGAAGTTGACCAATACTTCAGCTTCACAGGGCCTAGGACATGTAAACCAAGCTTGATGACCTCTCATGCACCATAGACATATTCCACATTGGTTGAGTGGATTAGCAAGCTTGCTATATCAATCCATGACGAATTAGCCAGGTATAAGTGTGAGACCCGCTAGCTCTAGATCTGGCTCTCCAGCTAGTTAATTAATCCAATCTTGAATTCCTACAGTATACCAGTGTGGAGAGTAGGCAGCTCTAATCCAGCCTAATCCACAATCCAGACAACTATTGAATTTTGATTAATTTTATAGGGTTTCTGATCACTGCCCAAAAATATTTGGGTATGGGTGTGCATCGTAAGAATGCACTACATAGAACTCAAATGGGTAATGAGATGGCCAGGCATGAAGAAAAAAAAAGATGAGATTTCTTGGAGCGTACCTATCTTTCTCCCAATTGCCTCCTCCTGATCATCATCATCATCAGAGAAGTGACCATTGCCAACCACCAGTTGTTTTGTGGCCTAAGAAAAGTGATGAGTTTCCAGCACCAGATCTCTTGACTTCTTGTTCAATCTTTGATCTGCATTATAGAACTGAATAGACAGAAAAAACTGACCAAATTTTCACTTTTGAGTTCTGTGATACAGGCCCTAATTATCACAAGATATAACAGCACTCCATTTCTGTCTGATTTGCCTTCCAACATTCAATTTAAGCTAGAAGACAACCCTGGTGAGATTGAGAACATTCATATCAGTTGTTTCTCATTGTATAAGGAGTACAACACTGCTTACAAGAACAAAAAAACAACCACCCAAGCCAACTGAGAAGGCTACAGTGCGCATCACCTCTTCTCAACTACCCCCAGGAGGGTGTTCCAAATTTTTCAAAATGGGAGTTGAATTTTTTTTGAATTTTTTCACTTTTTTTCAATGCCATTTTGTTTTTTTTTCTTTGAATTTTGTTTTTTTTTTGAGATTTTTGTCCATACAAATCAGCAGACAAGACACAATCAGAACAAAGCCATGTACAAAAACCAAAACGCTTGCAACAGCCAAAGCTCCAGCCAATTGAAATCATTGATGAGATCTAACTGTTGCATTCCAAGGGCTGCAATGATGGATGTTTCAATTATGACTGCAAGTTAGCCGGGCAACTGGCACTGAGTTTTCCTATTTTCTTCTCCTTCTTCCCTCAATATCATGTATTTAGATGGTCTATGTGCATAATACATACCATATAAATACATATTGCATACCCACTAGGCCATAGTATGGCCTTTTTCCATGGGTGTTCCAAATTTTGAATTTGAAAATTTCAAACTTTTTTGTCTTGCATGCTACAGAATCTTGCTTTATATTTTTGAATTCCACTACTTCTGTAGAGCTCAAATATGCATTGTTTACACATGTAGCATGGTTGGTGTGAACAAACATACAGATCAAAGTTCAAATTATTTTTTGCAGGTGCGGGGTAGTCGAGAAGAGGTGATGCGCACTGTACAGGCAATGAAAATGTGTATGTTGAAGACCAGGAGACTATTGATTTTGAGCAGCACCTTGCCAGAAACAACACTATTGGCTCAGCAGGGACTCCAACCGGAAAGCTCAGTCTTGACCTCACAAGAACTCAGTGTCAAAGTTGAAACAGGAGTTCACTTTGACATACATACTTGAGGGGTGGAAGTTCAACTTGAGGGGGGCTTGGCACTTAGCAAAGTCCTGCTGAGCCTATTTCAATCTCTAGGCCAAGAGGATCATCAGCCTTCAACTCGGAATCAAAAACTTTGACTAGACCACTCCAAACTCAACACAATTCACTGTGATTCCGGCAAATATCACTCACAGTTAGTTGCTTCTTCTTTATTTTCTCCAGCTTGTTTTTCTTATTTAATTTCTTGGTTTTCCTTTTTTCATGTTTTTGACTATCAATGTGTGAAGACAGAAAGGATGGAAGAACATGGTTTGTGGTTTGCTTGAGTTGTGGGGCTCATTGACTTGTGGCAGGCATGGCACTCTTGCTTGATTTTGGCCAAGCAAGGCTTTGTGCCGATCCCCGCCAACTTTGAAATGTGCCAGGCGGGGGTTGAAACAGTGACACATGCACTTGAAGCTCGGCCAAGCAGACTTGAAGCCTTGGCCCAGTGCACTTGACAATATTGTTGCCCGATTTTGGTGTGTGTCCATACTGGCTTGCAATACCATAATATGATAGGAAAAAGTCCTATGTATTGTCAGAAACAGATTTCACATTCAGATTCATTGCTCATGATCTCAATGGAAGCAGTTGGATGGCTTAGGAAACCTCTCAATTATGTGACAAAGTAGAATGTGTCCCTTTTGTAATACACTTGGGCCAGTCTCTTTGCCTTGGACTTCCTATTTCTAGTGTGAGTTCTTTAAAATTTGAGTTGCCACCTTCTGTTCCTTTTGGAATGCTACTTATTTTCTTCAAACAACTCTAAGGACACAATTATGGGTCAGCATGTTGCTTATCTGCTTCCAATTCCCTAGTAACTCACTAGTGGTACTGTCCGGGATCCTCTTTAATTCAGTAAGCTGACTTTTTCCAATTTGCCTATTGGAGATTTCTTGACTGCAGTTGTTGAACTTGCATGAATCAATCATTTTTTTATCAACATTTTTGCCTCTGGAATTAGCATGCATATGCTTAAGCTTGGATTAATTCCTGCTGCTTCCTCACTTTGTGAGTTAGAGACAAGTTTTGTAAGCTTGTCTTTCTACAAGGAAGGCAAAAGGCTTACTTGTGTGGCCACAACAAAAAAGAAGAATGGGGAAAGAGGGGAAAGGATGAAGGGAGAGAGAGAGAAGGAAAAAGAGATGAAATGAAAAGAAGAGATACTATATTCAAGGCCCCAGTCACTTTTGACTGTACTCAGGCTCATACCTGTGTGCCATATAAAAATCAGACTTGTTGGTAATTTCAAATCTAACAATATTAGGGTGATATCTCATCTTGATAATACCCTTAATATTATATCACTTGATTCAAGAACTCATATTCCTTCAAGGTGATGATAGTTTATTTCTCCCTAGGAGATAGCTCTCATGATCATCTCAAAGAGGATCAAATCATTGACTGTCTAATTGGGCTTAATTGCTGCTTTCAAGGGGAGCTTTTAAGGGGAAAGATCTTATAAATAGCAAAATCTAATACTATTAAGAAAGTTCGCATTCAACTTGTTTCCGGACTTCAAGTGTGAAATTCTGGTCACCAAGATGAAAAAGGGTTCCAAAACATGATGATATTCATCACAATCAAAGCTTTCACTCCAGAAATGAAGAAACACATTTCTCAGATGTTCACAACTTGAACTATATAGGATAAGCTCTAGGAAAAACTCAATCAATTTATGGATCAAATGAAGTCACCTGAAAATTTGTGAACATTGATGAGCTCAGAATTCAATCAAGGAATCCATTTTAGAACTGAGAAATTTCAGTTCATGAAACTGCAATGCATGTCAAAAAACAAGTTTCTCGGTATGCCCACAGAGCTTCTCCGTGTTGCCTAATTTCCAGTTGTGCACATAGAGGTTCAAGAGAACAAGGGGAACAATCAAAAATTTGCATATGAACATACTTGATGAATGATTTGACTCACATAGATCCTCTTGAGCATGGTGTAATCCGCGCAAAATGCATTTGTAGAGACGGCTGGACAGAAGGTGTATTCTCGAGGTTTCCGAGGGTCCGTTGGTCCATACGGTGTCACTTTGGGTTCAACAGGCAAACCGGATTTTCTGATCTGGTCAATTATGATCTGCAAGGTCAGAAGAGAAGATAGAACAAAAGTCCCCACTGACAATACCAATTTCCGTTTGGTTGCTGAAACCCACACAGTCCATAAGGTCGGTCTCTGTTGCACACATACTGCCATCTTGGATCAAATGCAGCTGCAAGCCCGAGAAAGGCCGCCAAGACAATGACAGATTTCAAGAAATACATGCTCTATGAAGAGTTCTAATCGCGAAAGTTATTCCAAACGTGTAAAACCGAGACTAGTGCGATAGGAAGGTGGAAAAGAGGACGACAGGTGATATTTTCATGGCAGAATCATGTGCGGTTATCTTGTGCTTTTAAGGATGAAGAGTTGTTTTTTTTCTCCGAGCTCGGGGATAGATCCTAGAAGGTCTAACCCATATGATCAAACCTGGCTGAATTCACCACCCTATTCATGACTACTCTTGAGGCTCTTGCCGTTGCGCAATGCATACTCGCAAAATAAAACGGACTTGCATGTTGTGCAGGGTGTACATGAATGGCAAATTGGGCCAATTCAAAACAAATCACATGAACAGGATATCGTCAATCTCTGCTGCATTTGATTCTGCAAGTGCTGTAAATTTTCCAACAAAATCTACGAATCTTTACTACACACTGATTGGCTTTTCAATCTTGAAGAAGCAAGTCAGAATTCATGTGATCGCCACCAGCTGCTCCTTGGCAGACCACATGATTCACCGAGCACACCTTTTCCCACCATGTCTTAAAAACAATGACCATTTGTGATGACACCGAAAGCTGAACAGCCAAAACAAGAATTTGCCCACACTGTGGTTTTATATTCTTCTATGGGGGCATAATTGACTAATGAACCCATTTTAAGCCTATGCTTCCGCTATTTCGTCCTCCCACGCGCGCTCCTACTGCTACTAGTGCTTGCAAAATCAGACACTCGGGGTCGTATTAACACAGCTGTGCCCGGTCGGCATGTATTTGTTGTCGGTGCAAGAGGGCACGCCACCAGGACGCCCCCAAAGATACAGTTTGGATTTTGGTGATACTTGGGATTTTGGTCAAAGCGCTTGAGACTGAGGTTTGCATGTGATATTTCACTCAAGCTTTTTTCTGAGGACTCCTTGGTCAAAAATGTGACCACATATCTGGCTTAAATTCAAATGATGTGCCTTATAGTAGCAAAACTGGTTTGCCTTTTTAAATGCTTAAAAAGCGCTTCAAACACTTTTCTAAACAGTCAAAACAGCTTATTTAGGCAAAGAAAGAGAGATCTAGCTGGAAAACTTCCATGGATGTTTGCTTTGGTGAGAAGAATTAGAAAGGTGCGACATTTAGATTAATGTGTATACATATATATATTTTCTGTTTAAAAAATATTCCTATGGTGAAGTTAATTATTTGTATGATCATAATCAAGAAGTGAGAAAAGGAAAAAGTGACCATTTTAATGGACCTTTGCATATTAGTATTAACGTGTTATTCAGATTTCAGTTGTAATTTATTATTCGTTTCTGCAAGTAAGAGGAAAGATGACATAAACCCATTTTTTTGGCTTATTATTATAGATGGAAAATGTAACGTGGTTTTATGAGAATGTTTTGCTGTGACGTGAGATCATGAATTCATCATTGAAAAAAGAAAGAATTGAGAAACTGAGAGAATTGGTTGTTTTCTACTTGATTCTTTATAATCCTAGGTTGTGGCAGTAACCACTAAAAGAACCTTGAAACAATGAGGCATCATTAGACTCACTACTCCCACCTAATCTTCTGCTCTCAGTTATCATCATTTCACCAGACTTTCTTTTGTCACTGGACGACAGGTCTCCAGGAAGCTCGGTGTACTGATTGTGTGCCAGCTCTTTGTAATCTTCTTGTCCAGCGAGCATAGTTTTGATGCAATTGTGAAAATCTTGTTGCCCGGTGGGCTCCAGCAACAACCCAGGATGCGCGGGGACAAATGCCTCGTTCTGTGTCACATCTTCACCTAACGCCAGAGCCACGGAAGAAGACAAGTCATCTCTTTTCCCCTGGGCCTCAGTCGGATCGCGTTTACCAAAATTAACATTGGATAATTGATCCCCGCCGTTTAAAGACAGGTCGTTTGGGTTTCTCACAAATTCAAAAGCTTCCCCTAACCAAGCATTTGAGGAGAATTCGTTTTTTTGAGATTGATCGTTGGCCACAAGGCTCGGACAACCATTGATTTTCGAATCAACAGAGGATTGCATCTCTAGCCCAAAGAACGTTTGTTGGCTCATGAAGGACTGTTTTCTCAGATTTTCGTTCATATCCTCTGTGACGGTTGTAGAGTAATCACTATTATCAAACGTAAGAGATACGCCAGAGCCAATCCTGCAGCTTCTTTCAAGCTCAGGTCTTTGAAATTCTGTGGCGGAATTAGAGCTGTAGTTTCCAGAGTTGTTGTTGAAGTTTTGATCACCAAGCGTATCATTTCGGGGAGAATACTCAGAAAGTTTTGCTGGGTGGTCTTGAAAATTGCAAACCAATTGACTTTCAGCACCCAAAGCACTTCCTGGTAGAAAAGAGCCGGCACTATCAGTGAGCGTAGGGGCGTGATTATCATGATCACTGAGATAAGGTGAAACTGAATTTGAAAAATTCGGGTCGGGCCGCTGAGAAGTATTATTATGCCCAAAATCATTGGGACATTCTCGCTCGATGTGTCCCAGCATCCAAGGTTTTTGAGATTGATAGCGTTCCTCTTCAGATTTCAGAAGTTGAGCCGGTTCACAAGTTGGTTCTACAAGGCCCAAGCTCAGGAGATGGTATCGCGGAGATCCAGACTGGAACTGTAAGTTGGCGTCGCAGCACAGTAAAGCGGATCCTTCAACACTCGAGCGTATTCTCCCAGGAAGGTTCAAGTCGTCTTTCCAGAGGGTAGGTGGGCAAGCCGGCTTGAATTGATTCTCAAACGATTGATGAAAGAGTGGACGATTCATATCTGAGACGTTTTTGGACAAAGTCTCCGGACTCAGATGTTGCTGTGCCGTAATCTCTCGTCGCGTATCTCTTTCATCAAATCGCCTCAGCCATATGTTTGACATATTCTCAAAACATTGAGCGTATGGCTTTGCCTGTGGATAATGACTGGAATAAATTGATAACGCTTCCTGACAGTGTTTCACCGGTAGAAAGACCTTTGGCGAGATTCCATTATACGAAGAGGACCGTCTTCCAGCAGAGATGTCGTGCTCTGGTCCAAATTCCGTGCGCACATCGTGCTCTGGTCCCAATTCCGTACGCACATCATCTGTTGCAACAGACAGACTACGGTCCTTGTCTAGTGCAAACAACATGAACACTCCTGACATGAACAACTTGTGGAGAGAATAAACAGCTAGTGGGGCCATATAGTCTTCTCGCAAGCGCTTTCTTTGTAGTTCGCAGGCAGCCATGGCGGCGTGGGCGGCCCGATGTAAGTATGGACTTCCGGGAGGAGCCGTCAATGCACATGGAATCAGCAAGGATTGAAGTGCCTGTTGTAAACAAATCATCAAGATAATAAAAAATAAATCAGCCAAGAGGTGGTATGTGCTTCAACAAGAGAGACGGATCGCACATTATGATATCTATGGAAGATGAAACGCCGATGGAAACTGGTTAGCCATGGTCGCATATGTGATTCATTGATCATTTCATGATGTAAGAAAAAACAAATTGGACTCACTGAAGCTCAAACCATTCGCCTGTGTAAAATGGGATCCCTCCCGAGTCCCAGCCACCCTCTACTTCTGGTTTGAACTCATTTTGTGTTTCCCAGTCCAAGCCAAACAAATTCCCTGCACTTTTGTTGATGGAACTTTTGGCGGGGATTAGTGCGCGCCATTGATCGAGCTCTAAGGCGAGCGCGTCGACGCTAGCGTAGCGCTGCTCTGCTTTTTCCTGGGAGAATCGAGAATGATACACTTTCTCCTTTATTTTTGTTAAAATCCGTCTGAGGCGAATGTGATGTAACGATGGAGACATCGTTGTCCAGCCTAAAGGATATGGGTTATTTTCTAAAGTAGTGCCTGTTTCCGAGAGCTTCTTATCGATTGCTACACGCCGCGCTAGAATTTGTTCATCATCGGTGACATGACAATCGATATCAAGGGGGAGCTACGTCGATTTTTCAAAAAGGACATGTCAGAGCTTGGTTGTTTTAAAATAAAGCATTCATTGTCCCTAACCTCACTATCTATCTCATCATCTTGGATGGCAATTGGCCGTCCTAATTGAAAAGCTATGGTTCTATCCTCACAAAAAAAAGCAAAATTCAGCATCAGGCTTTGGTTGTGAAAGACCTGAAGCATAAGCTCACCTCTCTAAGGCATAGACGCTCCACCATATCCGCTTTTTTGTCTCCTCGTGAAAGGGACTGAGCTGTTGAGCCTTTGGCGTCTTTCTGTGCAAGCCCAATTCCAAAGCAGTTCTCATTGCGAGACCGGTAAGATGCCAAGTTGAAAGTCCTTGGGTGGAACGGAATGAATACATCGCTAGGAAGAGCAAGGCTTGAATGGTTGTTGTGTTGGAAGAAACATGATCGTAGTATTGCAGAGCGGCTTGAAAGTAATGCTTTGGGTCCAAGATGCAAACATAATCAATCTTCTCAATTCACATGTTTCAAGTTTTCGTCAAGAAAATTAATTCATGAAAAGGAAACCATCCATACTTCGTGCGTTGGCAAATTTGGAATCACTCTTCCTCGCATTTCCCATAATCTGAGACCCAAAGCATAGGTTAACCAAAGAAAAAAAGCCGCCGTGCGCGGTCCGTCCGCTACTAGTGGTTTTTCGGAGGCACAAAACCTATCTCTTTCGCTGTACCACTGCTTAAGGACTACAAAGTTCATGAAGCAATGTCTTGCTTGAATTGTGGTGAAGACGGTGGCAAAAAGTTCGTCCGATAAACGCTCATCTTGCGGAAGGGGAGGAAAGACGAAACCCGACTTCATTTGCATTGAAAAGCTGGTTTGGAAGACTGCGGATTCTACATCAGCTGGAGCGATAGATAGAGATTCATCAGAGCACAATGAATCCAACGATGTTTTCGGGGGTATCAGGCTTTCAGAAAAGAAATGAGCTTCGCCTGTTTGATTGCACAAGGCACTTGTAGAAGTAAAAAACAGGCGATTTCATCAGCTTTACGCATTCTAAATGATCCAATCACTTGGACAAAGCATATATTTCAATCAAAAGAACGCAAACGAAGAAAAAATCCGTCCCCAAGAAACGCCCGAGCTTCCACCCACATATAGAGGCTCCGCTCCAGAGGTCAAACTAAGAAAGCCAAATCCATCTACTAGGTCTTGTTCGCTCAAAACCTCCGCTTCCGTTGTCTTTTGTGCCAGTTTGAATGCAATCAAATTAGTTGCCTTCTTGAGTACGGTATGCTTAGGGCAGCAAGCCTCAGGAGAGATTTGGTTTACTTACCTTGAGTACGGAGTGTCCGGGGTCAATTTCCTTGAGAGCAGAGATCAGTTCTTTCACACGGGCCTCGAGGTTGGCGATGTGTTGCCTTAGAAACTTTTCGCCCATGATTTCGTCCGGGAACACGCATTCCGAACTACTCTTGGCGCAATTGCCACATCTTCAGCCAGATGTTACATTGATGATCAGCTTTATTTTTGAATTCGGTAGGTGCATGCCTCGCGAGGAGACATCAACATATAAATCTGTCTGTCAAATTCAACATTTGCAACTTACGGCTGACTGATACCATCACAACGCTGTTTTTTCAAACGGCATCGCAAGCAGGCATTTGTCGCACGTTTCCGTTTTTTCGCTCCCGCTGGAGACTTTGGCTGGTGTTGCGAGAAAAGGAGTCGTCCCGACATCCTTAATTTTGAGTAAGAGACATACGTATGCACGTCTGATCTTTGGAGAAGGTCTTCCTATTGTAAGACTATTTACCAAAAAACGAACATGAGTTTGCTGAGGGCAAAGAAGCGAGAGACGCGTTTATATCCTTGGCGATTTGGTAAAGTATTTCTGCCGTGTAGCATCGAGGATAAAGCGTCCAATAAAACCTAGTCATGTGCGCGTTCCCCTCAGTAAACTCCTTGGAGTCTGCTTTCCCTCCCTTTGAATTTGAAACACGCCGCAAGCCAACTTTGGCGTGAATGAGTCAACATTTCAAGAGTGTGGCACTCACATTGGAAACCTTGCCCTTGTATGTATGTTTACCAAACACCTATTGCAACTTAATTGTGCTTCCATGGGACTCGTGGCCCATGTCATGCCAAAGGACAGGTGCTCACGCAGTCAGCATTTCTGAGCGTTTGTGATGTGGCTAACGCGTCAAAACCTTTGTTTTTGTATAAGGTATTGCTATCGGGAAAGCCCCACAATGACACGCAGCATCTAGTCGCTGTACAAGCAGATTTATGATACTTTACAGGATGTGCTCGTATATTTCATATCCCTGTGCCCTGCGACCGACGGGGAGGTAGACTACTAGGTGCTGCGACGCACATAAACCTTCTCGAGACGGCCATCATGAGCGTCATGAATGAACTCTTCAGCAAGTCACAGTTGCCACCCTCGTGGTTAAGAGGGCGTCACTCACAAACTGACTTGCGCACTCACTGTTGATGTGATTACACTGACTGTAACTGCGTTTATCTACAGCTATCTTTGACACTCATGAGGGGATTTCAGCGACGACAAAAGAAAAAGTTGTCACAGTGTAATTGATCAATGTTTTTCCCTTCTGGCCCACCTCGGTTAACCTCTATTAAGCAATAGACGAAGTCATTGAACATCGCAAAGTACCCACATGTTCCGCGTAGCACCCAGGACGACACTGTCCGGCGTCTGCTACTTTCAAGCAGAGGGTTTTTCACTACGAGTCAAGGCAAAATATTCAAATTCCGTATCCAATAGTATCCAAATCAGATTCATTCAAAATGACGAAATCGCCTATAGGCCTCGGTGAAACTTCTGCGTGTTCATGTGCCGTATTACTTACGACAATGCTCCATGCACACTCACAGACCCGCACACGCAGATTTGGATCAGGCGCCACGTCGGTTAGGGTTTGAGTCCCGGTGTAAATGTGCTGTTGGGAAGTCTATGTGGCAAATGTGAGGGTCTCAAAGTTAGATGAAAACATTGATCTATTCCCCACACACACCGCCGTAATTCCAGTAGGAATATCTCGATTTTGAAAGACATGGAACATTTTCTTGTTGTTTATCACTTCTTGTTCTGTAATGCTGTCGATGTGCATTTGGCTTTTGAGGGCGATTGTAGGCTTACCATGCCCGGCCAAACGAGGATCGATCACGGCCACAGTGTTAATGCTCCAACGTATTATATACAGTACGTTGCAGCTGATTGCTGATAGCGGTGCCACTTCACCAACATGTTCCGGACACCCAATGCAAAAGCGTCAAAAGACCAAACAACCAAGTGACTCTACGATGTATGTTACCAGCTCCTAGATAAACTTGTACAGAAATGAAATCATCGATCCACGGTTTTCCACGAGCCCTCCTGTCCCCGAGCTGGGAACTGGCATGTTGTTTTGGGAGAAAAATCCTGCATTCCACTTGACTTGGCACGCAATGAACATCGTTGTGGGGCTTGCCTATTTATTGCACAAGCATCGACGTCATGGCCGCCACGTGCATTCTTCAGCCTACACGATTGCTCAAGCTCGCTGAGGATAACAAAGATGTTAGCTGATATCTTCGGCACCCATCTAACTACGACGATGGCTTGGCGTTTGTGGGCAACCCCACCAGGGCACGTAGCTTTGAAAACAAGTCGCGAAATACATGTTGACACACTGCTAAGACCCGCATAACGTATTTATTTTATTGATGTCGCCGATTCAGCTGTACTTGAAAGAACCAGGGCGGCCGGTTAACTTTCGATGCTTCTGCCATACTCAAAAAAAGCCTGCACCAGAGAAAATACAGGGTTTTTGGGGGAACATGGAATCTGTTTCTACATCAAACGTTAGAAGTTGTGGAGAAGACGGCTAGCTTTCTTGCTGTGGAGTTTCTTTTAAACTCAGCCACCACGTCGTACCAGCAGTTATGTTAAAGCTATGAAAAGCGGAGCCACCACCCGACAACACCAGGGACATAAAAATGGCTAGGAACTGCTTAAGATGAAGTTCAGCATCTAATTTATTCAATTTAGATTTGTAAAAGTACCTAGATACTTGAATCCAAAAATTGAGGGAAATTTGTTGTATCAAGTGGATAGATTCCTATGTATCCCATCTGAAATTTTGTATTTCACAGGTTGCACATATTAGGAGTTTTGATATTGAATTTAAGGTGTTTTAACCACTGAAGATGTAAGGAAAATTTGTGAAACATTGCCTTATGGAATTGACAAGAATCTGTCCAGGCAATTGCTTTGAAGCTCATTTAGTGATTTCACTTACTTTTTAATCTTTTTAGTAGGCAATTGAAATTCACCACAATATGCATTTGAATTTCTAGTGTACACACATGGACTTGTGGAACTTGAAGTCCTTTGTGCAACACTTGCACTGCAATTGCATCAGATGGCTTGATCTGTGATTATACCAGATAATTTCTTGTGATGTTAAATCAGTCAAAGTGTCTGATTTTATGTACAACAATCAAATCAGACTCTTTAACTGATATAACATCAAATGAATACATTTGATATAATACCAGATACAGCTATCTTATACAATTGCTTTGGCAGTGCAAGTTTAATCTTGTTTTTTTGTTTGATTTTCTAATCAGATCTAATCTGAGCATCAAGTATTTAGAAGTACGGAAATCAATATAACAAAAAAACACAACTCAGATACATAGAGATTTGAACTTAAGATCATTTTAGGAGGGGAAATCAAAACTTAAAAATGGGATTATCTCTGTTATTTCTGATCTAATTTACATTTTCTGTTTGGTGTATCTTTAAAGTTAAAAAGCACATGATTTTGGTTCCTTTCACTTGCCTTTCTGGAGTTTTGATTTTCTGGTTTTCTCATATCTGTTCTTTGGATTCTTCTTTTTTTTTTCTTGTTAGCTTTCTACTACTGTATATTGTATGAGCTTTTGAATATTTCAAACTTAAAATGACTGTCTTGTTCATTTTCTGTTTTTGTACATACATTGAAGGCAAAAAACCTTGCACCAAGCTGATATAGACTGGAAACTGTCTAGAAATCTGTCTACATCAATTTCATAGCATTAGCTCAAACTTGGCTAATATTTGAACTTAACAAAAGGCCCTCCAAGGGCTTAGAGGAAGTCTGAAGCCAAAAATGAGCTTATCCAACATTTCCTTCTTCTAGTACAGAGACATAAGATTATTCATGCTCCATACACTGCAAGAAAAAGTCAAGCAACTGGTGACAGCTGACATACAAGAGCTCACAACATACTCTACACTGAACTTGAGTCAAACTCTGACTTTTATTCTACGTTGTTCTGGTTCAGCCCTTTGAAGCAACAGGGTAGTCCCACTCAAGTATTTCAACACAATGGCCTTAGTTTCCATTGAGGCTTGATTGGAGATTTCTTTATGTCAACTGGTAGCAGCTGCCCAACTTTTTCTTGTAGTGACATAAAGCATTTTGAAGCTCCAAATCTACCCCAAGATTTGTAACATTAGAAATATCTCCATTGGTTACATTTCAATCAGATTTGCTAAGATGACATGGATTTCTGTTCTATGTTTGGATTATTGAGTACCCAGAAAGCTACCTACTAATGGGGGTGACAATCAGAATATATAATTTTTTACTTGCTTTTTCTATTAATAGACCTATTCATATGATTAATATTATGGTCATCCTTGAATTTAATAACACTTTTCCAGAAGACTGAAAAGGAGGGATAAAATATTCAGAATTCTTTCATTTCCATTTTTCTTACTATGTATTCACAAAAAAAAACATTCCAACAAATCTCAAAACAGTTTGTATTCCAATCTGTACAGGTCAGCAGCTACAAAAACTTTGAGTCTTTCTTGGCAGAATTCTGATAAGGACAAGGTTTTGGTAACATGACCTTATCAGATTTCCAGCAGCAGCAAAAGAAAAAAAAAAAAACTTCCCACTGAAGTGACACCCAATTTGTAAACATCAGGTTCAGCTTGTAATCACACACACTTGACCAAAATTCCACCAATGAGCATATGGAAAAAGATGTATTTGAAACATTTGGCAGCTAGAACAGAAGTGGAGAAGTAGGTCATATTTGGATGATAAGAGGACAAGTCAGTTGGGGACTAACAGTTGTGGGTGAGTGTGTCACTTCTAGAAATTTCTCAAGTCTGTACATTGGGGGACAAGTAGCACATCCCCCCTTGTCAACCCAAACACCTCTCCATCATCATCCCAAATTCCAATCCCCCTCAAAATCTGAAGATGGGGCACCACCCATCTTGTTCAGATTCTTTCTAGCTTCATCAACAGCAGAAGATCTGCTTCAGTTTTTCTGTATTCTTCTCTTGCACTAAATCTTAACTACCTCACAATGAATGTTTTTCTTGCTTTGTCCCTTACACACAGAAAAAGAAGTCATTTTCATAAGAAAGAAAAAGGGGAAAAAACATGTATAAATTGAAGTCTCATAAAATACACCAAAAGGCCAGGTTTCTAGTAAAAACAAGAATTCTCAAGCTCCTGTGTGCTAAGCTATGAGGGAGGGAGAAAGGAAAGACCACAAGAAGTAGTTTTTTGTGACCATCTGTAATTTCTTTGGGCTTTGTATCTCAGTTATTTTCCAGTTGCCACTGGTTTTAATTCTCAATGGATAGAACTGATTCTTTACTTTTCAAGTCTTTTGTCTGAACCATCATTTTTCCCTTTTCCATCCCTTTGCTTCTCATTGATCTTGGTGTTTTTGACAAAGTAAAAACTGGTTTGAGGCCTCTTGGCAGGACCAATTGAACATTACCTAAACTTTTTTTTTTTCATTACTCTCTATGTACCAACCCCCATCCCATCCTCTAGAGGGAGGGGGTAGGGAATGGTTCAATGGATTTGGGCAAGATTGTTGGTGACCCCCATTTGTAGGGGGTCTCCAGGGTCCGATGATGGTTGACTACTCATGATGGGTCATGGTACAGTTGAAGAGCAGTGACAAGTTTTATATCCACACAAGCCAGCACAAGTTTGGATATATGTACCGCGTCGGATCGCCCTTAGAGGCTCAGGCCCAAGGTACCACCAGGCTGATTGGGGCGACATCCACCGACGCGTCTCTGGACGAGAGCTGGAGGGTGGGATAGCCATTCAAGGGACCAATCAAGGTGAGCCAATACATACCAGCTGCTGAGATCAATGCTTTTCAGCTTTTGAAGTTCGAGTCAGAGTGATGAGGAAAAAAGGCAACCTGTTGTTTGTCAACAGTTTTTGGCCGAACATGGCAGTTGTGTAGTCCAAAGGGGTGTTGCGACAGCCCGAAGGGGGGCTCCGTACATACACCGCGTCCAGATCACTCGGCCATTGATATCCAGCGTGTCTTCTTCAACATAAATACCACCAACTACATATTATTATTTCCTCCACAAGATGGCAGCACAAGTAAGCAAGCAAGAATCGCTAATCTTGCTTGACACGCTTGACGCTCATTGAAATCTTTTTTTATTCTTCAGCTTACTCACAATGCGATCAAAAGGATGTTCGAAGACCAAAACTTGGAGATCGAAAATCTGACTGTCCAAGTGATCAGTATCAAGTCAGTCGGAGTATCCAACGTGTCTTCAGCACCTGAAAGATGGAGGTAAGATAGATACCTCACTCGATTTTCTTAAAAAAAATGAAGAATGATTATTAACAATAATGAAGTATTCAGGATAATTATCTCGGATGGACAGATGTTTATAACGGCGATGTTAGCGACCCAACTGAACCACTTTGTGCAAGAGAACCAGATCAAGAAGCATTCGATCCTGCGAGTTCCGTCCTACACGGTCAATGTGATTGGCTCGCGGCACGTGGTAGTCTTACTGGGAGTCGAGGTGGTCCAATCGGACTACCCGGAGCGCATCGGCAATCCCGTCAATTGCGACGCCGAGGCCAACGCCAACAAGGACAATTCGAACACCAAGCCCGCCCCCGCCGTCTTGGCCAACCGATCCAATGTCGCCCCTCCTAAGCCTGATGTCAAGCCTGACATCGACGTCAAGCCCAAACCCTCCTCCTATAAACCTAACATCCCCGCCTCTAAACCTAACAAACCTGGCGTCCGTCGTACTGGTAATCACATTCCTATTGCGGGAGTCAGTCCATTTGCTAACAAGTAAGTCAGCCATCCATCCCAATTTGAATTTCACCCACTCAATTTTTTTCTTTCTTTCTTTCTTTCTCTTATAGCTGGAAAATCAAAGCCAGAGTCTCCCAAAAAACGGAAATCAAAAGATGGTCGAATTCACGAGGAGATGGGAAGCTATTTTCGGTGACCTTCTTAGATGACAGTGGACAAATCAGAGCGACTGGCTTCAACGATGCGGTAGATAACTTATACGACTCTCTGCAAGAAGGCCAAGTTTATTTGATCTCTCGAGGGAAGATCACTATTGCTAAGAAACCGTATAATACGACCGGCCATGATTATGAGATCGTTTTCGAAAACACTACCGAAGTCGAAGAAGTAATCTTGCTTCCTTCCTTGCTTCCTTCCTTCCATTTGAGTCAAATCTTTCAAACTAATCTTGGTTGTTTGTTTGTGTAGTGTGGAGATAGCGCTGACACGCCTAAGATCATCTTAAACAAATTGACTAAATTGAGTGAACTGAACGATGTCGAGAAAGATGCGGTTATCGATGTCGTAGCCGTCTTGAAAGATGTTGGTGAGATCTCGGAGATAGTGAGCAAGGCGACTCAAAAGACGGTACGGCAACACATCAACTTACTTAGTCAAAGACGCAGCATTTTTTTTTTCTTTTCTAATATTCTTGGATTCCACCTCACATGATGCAAAACCGGATCTCAGATAGTGAAGCGAGACATCACGTTAATCGATCAATCGGCGTATTCGATTCGAATGACGTTATGGGGGAAGACGGCGGAGACCTTTGAGGCGCCGACGGAGTCGATTGTGGCCTTCCAAGGGGTCAAGGTGGGAGACTTTGGGGGCCGGAATCTGAGCATGATATCGAGCTCGGTGATGCTCGTGAACCCGGACATCCCGGAGGCCTTTGATCTGAAAGGATGGTACGACAACGAAGGCGTGAATGCGAAGATCCAGAGTTTCGCTAACACCGGCACCGGCATCGGCCGCGAGATCACCGAGGACTCGCTCAAGACTGTCGCTGAAATTAAGGACACTCAGCTCGGAATGAACGAGCGTGGCGACTATTTCAACTTCCGGGCCACTATTATGTATATCAAGAGTGAGACGATCAGCTATCCTGCCTGTCCGACCGAACGTTGTAATAAGAAACTCTTGCGCGATGGAGACGATGAATGGAGATGTGAGAAGTGTGATAAACTCTTCCCAGCACCTGACCATCGGTAAGCAATCATCAGACATAGGAACGTGTCAAAGGGGATAGAGATTGACTCGAAATCCCGAAAATCTAGATACTTGATCCAGATGACAGTCCAAGATCATACGGGAACGCTCTGGCTCTCAGGCTTCAACGAAGTCGGCCAGATCATCTTACCGATGAATGCCAACGAGCTTATCGGGATCAAGGAGACCGACGAGGCCCAATACCAAAAGATCGTCACCGACGCCACTGCCAAGACTTACACCATGGTCTGTCGCGCTAAGGAGGAAACTTATAACGACGTCAATCGGACTAAGTATTCCGTCCTTCGCATCGCCCCCGTCGATTGGGTCGCCGCCGGCCTCCAATTGGCCGAAACTTTACTCAAGAATTATTCCGCTTGAATCTCCCCCCCCCCCCACCAACTCTTCTGACTTCACTGCCTTGTTCCTCGTCCGTGAATCACCTCCTTATTTATTCCCTTCCTGCTTTAGGTATTTTTTTTTCCTTTCTGACAAAAAAAAAATGAACCAAGATCAAGACGGTTCACTCAACAACAGGCTTTCAGCTTAGTTTTAAGACTCACCCTTCCCCCCTCTGTCCTCATTTTTATTGTTTTGTTTGTCTTTCCCAATATCAAACTGTCTTGATATAAACCAACTGACAAACAAACAACAAAGACGAAAAAAAATAACGATCAGTCAATCAATGTACTTTTACTTACAAATCCAAATCCAAATCCAAAAAAAAAAATGTTTAGAAAAGAGGAAACATAAACAAAGAGCAATACAGGTATACATTAGTGAAGAGAACCATGGATTTGTTTTTGTTGGTTGTTACATACCAAAGGTCACTAACCTTCCTGTAGTTTGGTCTGGAGCCACTGAAATCAAAGCATACTTCAAGTTCAAGTTCAAATGGAGAGCAAGCGATGATATCACCGTCCTCATTACACTCCACAACTCTGCTACAATCTCGTCACAAGTTTCAGCCTGCGTTGTAACCCTGCAGCACCATCTTCTTGCCTCGAAAAGCCCGAGGTTTTTTTTTTTTTTTGATAGAAGGACTCCAAGTAATAAGATCAAATATTGCATTCGCTCATTTGTCATAGTGACGATACATATTTACAGATTGAGTAACGAATTAACACAAGTCCGAATATTTGTACATCTCCAAAGGAAAAGAAAAAATAGATAGGTACATATCCATATGTGGAAGGAAGAAATCGACGACCGGCGTGATCACAGAAAAACGACTCGCGGAAATAAATAGCACTTCCAGAATTTGAAGTCATCCTGCTCAGATTGAAAATAAATCATCTGCCATATCCGCCGGGGTATTGTAGTTCAGTTGGGGGAGGAGGGCCTGAGGGCGGGGCGAAAGAGGTTGGTGGAATCCTATTTTTTTTCTCAGTGCCAATGGTTTTTTTGGGAGGGCAGAGAATAGTGAGCGAGCAAGCTTTGCGGAGCCGGAGATGCCGATGACTTACATCTGCATCTGAGGGACGACCATCTGTGGCTGGGCCGCGCCGGCGCCGGCTCCGGGTGGGGGAGGCGGAGGAGCAGGGAATGCCGGCTGGAAGGAGTCGTCCACGTTAGCCTGCCAATCTATTTGTATGTATTGCCGACGAAGAAGGGCACACCATCAGCGAGAGAGAAGGTCCTCTTCCAAGGACAAAAAGGGCGCAGAGAGAAACGAGACTCAACTGCAGATGTTGCAGTGCCAGACCTGTCTGCTCGAGCAGGGAATGAGCGAGACGAAGCAGATCTAAGGCAGGCAGGCATCAGAGGTCAGACATCCCCATCTGCATCGTCGGGCTTCCGCCGGCGTGCGTGGCCATTTTGGCTCCCTCTCTCACCTCGATCCAGCGCCGACGGTGGCTCTTGAACACGCTCCCGTTGTGGCACTTCGGACACGCCCGACCCGGCCCATCCGGCGCTCCTGAAGTCACCTTCACCGGACATCCTACCCTGATCATCCATTAACAAAAAAGACGGACCCTCAGGCTCTTCCCTACCATTGGGCTGTATGCATAGGAGAGAGAGTGTGTCTTACGAAATGCAGATCGGAATCGGGATATCTGAACACATCCTAGGCGTTTTTCCTTCTGGAAGATATTCGATTGATTCGAGGTGTTAGAATATTGATTCTTTCTTTCAAGATGGGTTGTTCTATAAATCGAGTTTGATTATTTGGATGATGGAAGATGAGAGGAGGAGGAGGTTTTTTTCTTCTTCTTGCGACAGTGATTAATATGTATCCTTTTTTTTCTTATAAGATGCTCATGATTGTGGGGAGTCACCCCAGCTGATGATCAGCTTGGCGAGAGACAACAAGATAAACATGGATGTGTGTTTTTTTTTGTTCTTGGCTGGCTGGGATTGACCAGCCGTCGTATCTTGCCATGGTGTGTGTATGAAGGGACTTGCTTGACTGGGGATGAGAGAGAGAGAGAGAGAGAGAGAGTAGTGCAGATGTTGCTTGTCCGGTCAAGGGGCCTCTTCCGAAGAGATGTGTCTCTCGGCTGCCGGCCGTCCTCGGCCCGTGAATGTATATGCGGCTGCCGGCCTATTTGCCAGCCAACTTGGGGGACAGCGTTTCAGGGGGAAACCTGCCGGGAACCACCAGGAACTGCCTCCGAACGAACGAATGGATGGATTTAGATGGTAGAGACTGGTCAGTCAACTCCCCCACTCTCTCTCTCTCTCTTCAGAAACCCAACCGAAGAACAACAGTGACTGACATCCACCTGTGTGCATGTAGTCTCAAGAACGATATGTCGGATGCGGGCTCGATGGCCGAGAGAGAACCAACAGCAGCAACTATTCCATCGGGTCAGGGGCCTCTTGAGAGCTAACCGCGCCAGCCAAGCCTCCCAGCTTTTCCTCGCCGACTTCGACCGACAGCTGCTCCGAACGAGCCCCCAGCCGGGAGACCGATGCAAACAACAAGCCGATGACTGGCTCTGGCGCACCGCCGTCCTCTTCCGATCCTACAACCAGCCCGACCTGGCCCTCCGGCTCTTCACTCAGCTCAAGACCAGGCTCCCAGTGCCCATCGAAGCCCTCGTCTCCGCCCTCCAAGCCTCGAGCGATCTCGTCTGGAAAGCTCCCGAAGATCGCCATCAACCATCCATCCCTCTCACCCCAAACGCATTCGACCACCTCCATCATTCGCAGCTCGCCCATTCCCTGCTCGACCTCTCCAACCATCCCCTGCTCCTCGCCCAAAAACCTTCCCCCAAGCTCGCCCTACCAGGACATCATCTTCAAAAAAACCACTCTCAACAACACGACCTCCTTCCGTCTTCCCCCCAGAAGAAGAACACCCGGGCCCTCGAAGTCATCCTTGCAAATATCTTGAAGCTCGGTGATATGGACTGGATCGTCTCCATCTTCCGCGACTTTTATCCAGCCTACACCGACCAACTCGGGCGATACCTATACCCCCCATCACCCTCACCCTCACCCTCATCATCATCATCATCTTCTTCTTGTTGTTCGAGAACGACAGCGAGCGATGGCTCGTTAAGTGTTGATGAGATACCTTCAGGCCGATTAGTGAAGTATCTGGTGAGCGGATATATGGCCTGTAAGGACGTACGCCGGGCCTATTTAGTGGTTCGATTTCACGGAAGGATGGTAGATCGAGTAGGGAGGGATGAGGAAGAAGCAGACTTGACGGCGGAGGTGACGTTTCTACGACTAGTGTCACGGACGAGTGTAGGCAGTATGGAGCGCCGGATGGGGATGATTGTGAAGGTGCTTGAGCGGATGCGGGAGGGAATGAAAGAGCTAGACAGCTACGGCGTGGAGGGACTGATGGAGATGCGGTATCGGATGCGAGCCGGCTGGGCCTTCCGGCGTCGCCAGGAAGCCACGCTTGCCATCCTCGCCGCCGTCCTCGACCGCGCCCTGGCCCTCTTCCTCCTCCACCGTGCCCGGCCCTCCTCCTTCCCCTCTTCCAACTCCAACGCGCTCATCCATGGCCCACACCAAGGCCAACATGCGGTCTCCTCCTGGAAATATCGGCCCTCACCCGCCCTCTTCGGGATCCTGCTACGCGCCCTGCGCGACCTGCTTCGCTTCCAAACTCGCCCCATCCCTCGTCCTCCCTCGCCCTCTCTTCATCAGCATCAAGATGACCATACGCTCCCGCTCGAGGTGCCAAAAACGGCCAAGAAACGAAGACCGTCTCCTGGCCTCCATCGCGCCCTCCTCGCCCAAATCCTCGCCTTCGACCATCTCAACCGATCCATCTGTCCTTCTCCTCCCAAGTCGAGCTCGATCAATGGCCGTCCAAACCAGCAAGACCCGGCGCACACTCGGGAGGAGGAAAGCCTGGACAGACTGCCCATTCGGCTCGACCTTCTCACGCCGAAGACCGTGATGCTCCTGGTCGAATGTCTGTTGTTGGCTCGCGACTATGTTGCGCTCTGGGTCCTGCTCAATCGGCCCTCCCTTTCTACGGACATCCGACGCCAAGCGCTCCCATCCATCACCAAGACTCGTCGCATCCTCCAGCTCAATTCGAACTCTCCCTCTCCGCTTCTTGAGAGTCAGCTGCTTCAGCAACTCGACCCCCTCCACAGCATCAGACTCCAACTCGCTCATTGCTTCACTCTCGACTTCAGCGCCGTCCATCGGTCGCTGCGTTGGGAAACTGAGGAACGATCCATTCATGCCAGAATCGTCGCTGAGATCGCCAAGTTGGACCGCCCCTTCTTGCATTCTTTCGCCCTCTCTCAGTTCTCCTTAGGTCAATCACATTTCTTTTTTCCCCCACTTTGGTTTTTTAAAAAAAAAAAAGTTGGATTCTGATTCTTGGTTTTGTGTGTGTTTAGAATTTTTGAGGAAAGAGTTTGGGAAAGAGCAACTAGATCTTCTGTCATATGGAATGTCGTACGATACCGCTGGCGCCGTCATGTGAACCCTCCTTCTTATTCGGGCTCGATCCCTTCGAACCAGCGTCCTCTTCGAACCGTTGATAGTGCACCGGATGACAGGCCTGCATGCTTGGATGCGGCTCGTCCTGACATGTGACTCTCCTCTTCCGCTCTGCGATCCTCATCTTCTTTCCCGTCTTTCTCATGTGTACTTCTGAACAGCCATCCACACACACTCTCTCTATACCATATTTATCATGTAATATATATGTCGTCACGTTTCGGTGCTTGCATGTAATCCATTTTTCTTGGGCGAACTTGATTGGAGAAGAATGGCGTCGTGTCAAGAGCCTTGCAATGCAATGCAGACCTTGTGTCTCAACTTGTGTGGCTTCCAGACTTCAATCCACTCAAAGCACACCCTTCAAGGCGCTGACCGACTACGAACGGGCCGAGTATCGGGAAGGTAGAGCCTCTTTCGCGAGGTATGTACGCCCGGGTCCACCTGGTCCCCTCAAAAAACGAGGGGATTGGGTTAAGATATACAACGTAGGCAATCCTGCCCGGCCGTAAAGTTCAGGGGGAAGCCCATCCTCGGCCGACTTTGGACTTATTTGTGTGTCCATCGGGAAACAATCCGACCGAGTCCCTCGACGCGTTTCAGGCTCCATTTGATAGTAGCTTTCCGGAGAGCAGCGTAGGTGGGCGTTGTCCACGGCGCCGCCCTCTTTCTATGAAGACCACGTGGCCGGTATCGACACGAGGTGCCTTCAAGCCCCTCAGCCGGACTTACCGGGATCCATATTCTGGTGAGACTGGACACGTGGTCTTCTCTCTCACTTCCCATAGACCTTGAAGAACAAGGCTCGTCTCGCTACCAGGCCATTCTCCCCCCCTAGGATCTCCAACTGCCTTCCGCGATTCCACTCCCATCCACATCCACTACTCGAAGAAAATTCTACCCGCTGTCACTCAACTAAAAGACCCCCAACCCACACTTGAGAGTCTCGGGAACCCGGCAGTAATAAGCCAGGTTCCAGGATTCTCTAGGTATCTCGATAAGATACTGAATAAGTACAGGAGTACATTAGCGGAGCCTACCTACTAGGCGCCGCAGAAACAAATCCCCTCGTGCTCTACATAGAAGCATGAAGAGTAATAGGGGGCCAGGCATTCCGAACCGGCCCCCGTCTACTCCCTTAAAATCCTCCAAGGGGCATAGTAGACGAATGTTTCAAACCGACCAGGGGGAGGCGGCGCGCTGGACAGGAAGGCTGTGTCTTGGGCTTTCTTGGCTCCTCCTGCTCGCCATGCTGCACGAACATACTTTTACATATACACTATCTAGAAATGAGAAGGGGTTTTTTCTTTTTTTGAAACATCCAGATCCATCAATCTCGAATCTTTGGGATGATTCTGCGGCCGATAAAGTCGCGTCCAAGTCTTGCCCACACACATCTACAAATGGGTCGAAGATGTTTCATCAGGCCAGGATCCAGACTCACGTGTCATCCCCCTCAGACTGAAGCTTCCACTCGGCCATTGCCAGGATGGTATTAAACGGTTCAGGTGCTGATGGTCCGGCGGGATGCACTCGCCACTCAGGATCTCTCTTCGCACTTATATCGCCAACCACGATCATTTGAACGCCTCTCATTGTACCCCAACCAACAATGCTTAAATCAACTCTCCTTGCCAGCTTGCTTTCGATCGCATCGCTCCAGACTGTAAGCGCACGTCAGGCGCCGCCGCTGCTAGCTAAAAGAGGCGTCATTGGAGTCGATGTAAACTGTCAGTTCAGAGCACATTCCTCCACGCTACAATCCCAACGTTGCCGCCCAAAAAAGAGCTCTGTTTTCCCAATCATGGGCCATCGCCAAAATCTAATGTGTTTGCTGACGCCGATGTTTTTTTTTTTTTTTTTTTTTTTTTTTTTACATATTCAGTTTGTCCACATTGGGACAAGTTAGAAGCCTGTCGAGGCGGCTCTCACGCATGTTGTCGACAGTTCTGTGCCAGGTCAGGAGGATCCATCACACGCTTGTTCAAGTTTTTCTTTCTGCCTCAAGGAAAGAGCTGACGACCAGGTTTAATGATTCCGTGCCCCGTTTTAGTTACCGGGTGTCGATCGAGACCGAGGCTGCGACCCAGTTCTGCAACCCTGGCAACGCGCCCAAGAAGCCCGACCCGAGCCCCCCTCCTCCCCCGACGCCCCCACCCCCCGCTCCCTCCCCGCCACCCCCACCACCTCCGACCGTGCAAGTCGCTCCAGCCCCAATCGTCATCGGCACCGCCCCTCCTCCTCCGCCTCCGACCGTCTACTACGCCCAGCCCGCTCCCCAAGTCTTGTATTCCCAGCCGGTGCCCTATGCTCCTGCACCGGTGCTCGTCCAATCTCATTGAATTCACCTGTCCCGCTTCGTCCTCAATCTCCCCGATCTTGAGCTCCATATTGGTCGGCTACTCCTTGGAGATAGCTGTTCTATTGCTCTTCCATCGTCTGTCTTTCATCGTTTACCACTCATTCATTCTCTTTATTATATCTGCAAAAAAACAAACACATATCTGTTTATATGCAAAGGACACACTGATAACACTCCATTCGTTTTGCATCAGGAGGATTTGAAAGGGATGTGGACTCATTTGATAAGATCCTCCAAATGCTTCGATCCCTAGTTTCATCTTTTTTATTGTTCGTCAAGGCTCTTCATAAATTTGTAACAAAAAAAAAACCAACACCAACTCAATGAGAAAAACCACCCCATGACCGAAATTACCACACATGAATCATCTGATGACTGTTGTTGTTGACTGAAGGAGACTGTCCACACAATTATATCCAGTGGGCCATATTGGTTTCTGAAACGGACTATGTAAGAATCGAGCTTTTCTAAACCATTCCAACCTTTTTGGGATGGTTAATTTGAATCCAAAGATCAAGATGATATCACCCACATAGTTGACCTAGTGGTACACAATGACTGGAGAACTCCCAGCCCCCCCCCCCACCCCCCAAAAAAAAAAAAAAAAAATCTGTGGATGAGTGAATTAATTTTGCATTTTCAATAGGGGGGGTTCATGGATGAAGATTATGAATTTTTTTAAGGCCCATTTTACGGCCATCCATTTCTGACAATCTGACCATGATAATTTGGGGGCGCTGAACGATCAGGTCAACCCGCTCACATCCCAACAAGTTGGTTGATTATAAAAAAAAACAGCTTATAAAGAAATCGGCTTGGAAAGGTTTCTGGATTTGGATTGTGAACCCCCCCCCCCCCTTATTTTGGTGGAGGTTTTGGTGCTGAATGAATTTGAGAATTATGTAGTATATATATTTATGTAGGAGAACTTGAAGTTTCCAACAAAGGCTTTCAAAGCTTATCAGAAGCAGCAAAGATAATTAAACTTGCTTAAAAGTCACCAACCAAACCCGAAAATAAAACGACGGGTTTTTTTTAGGTTGCTTGTAATAATACATACTCTTCATTTTATAGCTACCCCACCACACCAGATTGGTCTGCCGGGTTGTTGCAGACACCAAGAACTACTGAAACAGTCGCAACTAGTACCCCAAAGCCCAGACAAACGTTCTTGTTTCCTGGGCATATGGCCCATGGGTGTCTCTTATCTCTAGTCCTCAGACTTGTCACTTGACAGGAGAGTAGATATTTTTCAGTCAAGCTGCTCTCTCAACTAATCTTGCTTATATAGAATGAGGCAAGTTATTCAGACGAGATTGGCTCACTCTTCCCCAATAACAGTTACAGATCTGTTTGACTGGTGTACATATTTATGTCTCTGGTTGATTCTCGTCTTTGCCCATTTTATCGAGCTCACACAACCATGATCTCGTACTTTTTTTCTGCAGAAAACAAGAAGAAGAAACAGGCCGAGATTAAGAGATCTGTTTTGATTCCCCAGTCAGTGTAAATGAGACTATCCAAATACATCTATCTTAAAGCTGAGAGGGGAGTTAAATGGGTTGTCAAGGAGGCCATCCCCAAACACCCTCGACCTGCAACGTTTCTTAAAAACCATGATTGGTGAGGTAGTGATCTTCTTCATTCGTTCAACAGAAGCCAGTGAGTGGCCTTGGGGACCATGAGCCGACCAGACAGAGACAGCAGGCTTATAAGAAGATTGCAGGAGAGCAACATGAGTGGATGTGGGGCCTCCTCTTGAGGGGAAGGACAACACGACTTGCAGTTGCAGGTCCGAAACAGTTCTCTGGAGTCTGGAGTCACCGTCTGGTGGAGCATTTGCCGATATGTTCCCGGAGCGGCTGCAGATCAGGCCCTTCTGCTGAGAGAGGGGGGATGGATCCTGTAGCGCAGTTCGTTGGAGCTTCGTATCCGGGCGCCGGTGCGAGCGAAGAACCGGCTCGCGGGAGTTCCCCGGCAGCTCTAGAGAGAGAGCCGGCCGGTTTGATGTTCGCTTGACTCTTGAGACATGACTGTGCTCGTCCTTCCTCTCTCATGTCTCTTGGTCTGATTTATCCCGCTTTCTTTGCAGATGATGATGATCCAGTTCTTTTTGAGTTTTGAGAAGTTACAAAGTCAAGTTACGTCAGAGTACTCGTTGCAGACAGATCAGAGTGGCAGTGTCTTGATGATCCCAGAGTCTCGCGCCCAAACCAACGCCTCACAAATTTGCAGTCGGTCACTCCGACTGGCCTTCGTCCCGACAAGTCTCTGCACCCAGCCCTTGCAGCCTATTTCCGGCTTAACCGTTGCAAGCTTCTCTGCACGAACGACCCGGCCAACGACACAGCATTAAAACCTTCCGCCTTCCCACAACACAGCCCAGCCTCCTCTTATTCCGGCCCTTTGCAGTCTGTTTTTTTTTTTTTTACTTGCTTGCTGTGAGGTGTACTACATACTTGTTCGTTCGTCCGTCTTTTTTCCTTTATCAATGTTTTGGCTGGTCGGAGTCTGCAGGCTCGTCCCCTGGTGAAACCAACAACTGATCGTCTCCTCGTCCCCAATCCTCTATATTGTACCCAGGTGTCCATACATACAAGATCTACCCATCAACCCGTTGGTGAACCTCCCAAAGCCGAGCAGTCCATTTCAGCACTGCCACCTCAAACTCCCCACGCAAATATTAGATACCCCAATCACCACTAGCCGGCCACCGAAAAACTCTCAATCATCATCAAGTCTACATAAATATACTTCTTTCTTTCACTCTTGTATCTGCCCGGCTCCGTCGTCATCCGCCCTTCGCAACCAACTCATACACATACATATATATATATCAGTTCGTCGTTCATCCCCACATATTTATTTCAGCTTTTGTTCTACACACTCCATCAACCATCCAAAAGAAGATTGCGAAGAAAGGAAAAAACAAAACATCTTGGGTTCAAGGACTGCCACTTCGTATAATATTCGGCTCGATCGGGAATTGATTCGTGTTCTTCTGCTCGAAAAAAAAAAAAAAGAAAACGATTGGACGCCACAAAAAGAAAGGACGGGAAGAGATGTGTGACGAATGTTGTATCTGTCTCTCGTAAGCTTCCGCCCCCTTTTTCCTTCGCCCCATGAGGCCGTCGCCGACGCTCCCGAAAGACTGACCTTTTTTTCTTGTGTGCATAATTTGGGGAATGAAAAAAAAAGGGTCGGATGTCCGACGAAGATCAACCCTTCGGGCGGCGACGGCCAAGCCCGGATCTGTCCCCGCTGCAACAACGGCAGCGTCTTCCAGGCCCAAAGCCAACGCTGGCTCGAGGTCCGTCCTTCCCATCCCCCTGCCCCTCTCTCTCTTTTTTACCCTGTTGCTGACTGTCGGTTGGGTTATGCTACTGTTATTACACAGGTCTGTTTCTTGCCCTTGTTCCCATTCAAAACGAAAGACGTATGGTCGTGTAATATTTGCAGTTGAGTCTTCCCCCCCCCCTGTTTTTTTGGATAAAAGTGGAAGAAGAAGAAGAGTTGATTGGGTGGTGTGGATGGATGGAACAGGTTGGCAGGCCGAACTGGGCGTCTTCCAGCCCCTCGTCGCAAGCACCTTCCCGCCGCCCTCATTCCAAACGTCAGTCTCCCTCTCCTCATCCACTCTCGCACTGGATGAGCCAACCCAAAAAACCCTGCAAAAGCTGACATCCTTTCCGGTCCATATCAGCCAACCGGGATACAGTCCCCCGATGATGTATGCTGCACCCTACACCGCCGCCCCGCCGCCTCCAGCGACGTACACCCCATCCTCCGGCGCAGTACCCGGCAAATAATCTCTCTCTCTCTCTCGATCGGGTCTCCCTTATATATCTCCCGGAGATGTCCCCCCCCCCCGCCTCGGCCCGTCTGTTGCTTGTACTGTTCTTGACGTCGTCGACCCCCCAGCCATCGGCGTTCTGTCCATCATGTACCCTTCCTTCTTTTTGCTCTATCTCGGCCCCGTCTCGCCGGTGTCCCGGCCCGAAACGGCCCGGTCGTGTGCTTGTATCTTCGCTCTCCCGTTCTAGCTTACTTGTCCTGCCTCTCTCCTCTTCCTCATAATAATCGTTCATCTATGTATGTCCATTTGTTTCGGTGGTTTAGATGCACTCGTCTGGGATCCTTATTCTGGTTTGTTGTTCGAACTGTTCATCGATCGTCTTATCTTTATACAATATATATATATATGCTACAAATGTATAAGCCCTCTCTCGGCGTTGTGAGTGTCAAGTCTTTCTTCTGCTCGGTCTGTCGTGACGGAACTCATGGGATTGATCTAGCTTAACAAAACCCCTCAATTCGTCGGGCCAGTTGCCTGGCCTCGCCAAGCGAGCCTCCTTCGGAGGCTTGCGTCCCCCCGTCCCTCTGGAACGAAGGGATTGTGTTACGCTAGTGGATTGATAAAGTTCCAGCAAAAACCTAGGAGGCCCTTTTTTTTCAATAGAAAAAAAAAAAAAAGAAGAAGAATAGTTATTGAAAGTTTTAGCTGGGTCTATGTATACCGAGTCTGATTTTGTTGAACTATGCAGATATTTTTTTTCAAGTCCTATCGGTCTTTGGAGTGTTCTTTCCGGCCCGGCGCAGGCTGGCATTGTGCCCCCTCGGAAGGCCGAGGGAAGTTACACTTGCAAGTTTCGGAGCAGTTTGAACCCCCCGAGTTTCACTGTAGGCTTGAGAGTCAAGCTATAAAAAAATATTGTATGTGAACCCGAACTAAAAAAAAAACGGTGTGTCCCAGAGGGAGGCGGGCTATTATAATTTATTGTAGGCTGTCGAAAGCAGCCGACCGAGCCGGATAACTAGCCGGTGTACATAGGACAACAGCCTTTTATGTAGCGGCGTGCCGAGACGTCAGACGATCTGGACCCGGTGGGTACATACTTACAGCAGAGTTACAAAACAAGCCTCAGACTGCAAGACTCGATATCAAACTTGATTGGACTCGCGCCCTCGGGCTCCTGGAGGGCGAGGAGATGGTGGCTGGATGTGTGGTCCATTGAGTCCCCAAGTAGGGCCGAAGGACCACGGCGGATTGGTACCTTTATGTAGCTCCAAACACTGGGTCGTCGGCCAGTTGTTCATCACCGCGCCGGCACTCCAACTCATCTGGCCCGGTTGTCTGTCTATTTAGGTGGCCCATGTCTCGGCCAGGTCTCGGCCGCCTCGACATCCTCCGATCACAAACTTCATCCACTCTTTGACTTAATTTGCAGAAGATCAGACTGAACAAAGTTTAAGCGCTCAACTGTGCTCAATTATCCCGTAGAATGAAGTTACAGCTAGCGGCTATTATAAGTGTGCTGTTGTCACTTGCAGCTGGAGGCTCAGTTGCCAGGTTTTCATCAACAAAGGAGGAAGCCCGACGACTCTCGAGAGGAATCTCGGACGATGAGCATTCGAATATCAGGGCTTCACTGGCAGGAAGCTCGAGTCAAGCAGTGGGACAACGACCGCAGCCGATGAACAGAAACTTCCTGTTGACGGTCCCGAAGTATGCGCGGGCCGATGGGGTGCAAGGGTACTGTTCCCTGACGATCTGTCGAAGCATCGCGCCCCCAGCATTCGAGGAGCCGGGCGAGCGCTACCCACATTACTATTATTCTGCGCAGAGCGGCTGGCATGATGCCGAGTTGCTCTTCAAGGCGATCATCATGAACGGGAATAAGAAGGCCGTCCTGCGGCTCGAAAGCTGCAGCACCACCAGGGTGGTGACCGTCAGACTCTGCTACCCTTCCACTAACACCATCTACCCCGCCATTGAGCTTCCACCACGCGGATCGATCGGGGTGGAAGTCCCGCGGGATGCCGAATGGCCTCGCAAGAACGCCCCGGTGCTCCATCTGCTCGGAGTCAAAGATGCCTCTCGACGAAGCTCCTCCCATCATCAGCTGTCCGCCGCCTCGCCCGAATACCGACCGATCCAATCCTATAATGATCGCGACTCCCAGCTCAGCAGGTCCTTCCAAACCCTCCAGCTCGGACCGCCCAGCGCCCATCCTCCCGGATACAAATTCAACAATGAGGACGAGTTCGACCAGCTGGGCTTCGTCACCCGGCCGACGTTCGAGTACATCAGCCCCCCCTCGCCGTGATCTAATCTTGGCGCTAGATATCCATGCCTGATCTTCATTTGTTCATCCGGCTTGCCGTTTTTTTCTCGAGAAAACACCTACTTGCTTGTTCTTGATCACCGTCTTGTTGATGTTCTGTCTTCTTGAGAATACTTATCTCTTCTCTTCTCTTCTCTTCTCTATATATGTGATCTCAAATAGATCTTGATTCCAGTCTGCTTTTCGTCATTGTTGCTTAGATCGTCCAGAGCAATCCTATTACTTTCTTTGGTCTCTCCCCCTCCCCAAATCAGTGGCTAACATTGAGGGACCGTGGGATTCCCGACTGAGGGCTTCCAGTTCGACTGCCAAGCATTAAGCAAGATGGATGTCCCGCGAAAAACGAGAGGATGGGTTGGAGATCGGACAGATACTCATATGTACCGTCGTTTTCTCGTTGTAGACATCCTGGCCCTATGTGGCTCTGCAAAAGCCCCGATTCCCAGATCGGCCAGAATGATTGCAGTGCCAGTCAACAAGCTTTGTAAAAATATATGGGGATCGGCGGCCACCCTTTCATTGGCCTGAACAAATCGCGCGGGCCTTCGGGAACCATCACAACATTGACAGACCTATATAAGAATCTACCGCAAAACTTCGACACTTGCAGGTGTGCTGGCCTCCGTGTGAAGAGTCAATTATGTCCTAGACAAGACCTGATGGTCCTTGTGGGGGCTGTTAGTGTAAGATTAGGGGGGGGGGGGGCGGGGTTTGTTTTCTTCAGAGCTCAAGAAATCAATGGAATGTATTTGGTGAAGGGATGTACTTCCAATTAGCTATTTCAACCAGACTGGTGGACCAATCCCAGTGTGTGCTACTACTACTACTAGTACTACTAGCTTGGCTCCACAATGCTCTGTTTCCAGATATATTCAGCGGTACAACATCTATCAAAGGTAACCTCTGCAGATACTTGGGTGTGATCACGTCACTTTGGAGTCCTCGCCACTCCTATTCTTAACTCCTCGAAAGCTGCACCGATGGCACATCGTGCTACTGGCTCAGAGGTGCACTTCTACTCAGCTCGGCAATCACTGCCATTTGTAAACTGGCTCTTATGGTTTGGTGAACCATTGATGATCACTAACTATACTTGTTGAGAAAAAAAAAACCCCAGACAGACAGACGGGAGAATTGAGAGCTTGGGTGTTCAGGGCCTGTACCATAGCTCCACAGCCAATCTTTGTTGAGATTTTTTATTGTTTGCCCCAACCAAAATTCATTTCCGGGTTGGCACTCAAAATTGGGCTTCTGTACTGTCGGAAACTGGCCGGCGTGCAGCGTCATTTGGGGCCAATCTTCTGACTTGGAAATCGCTAATTATTCACCTGGGCTCAGGTCAATATCCATACCATTCGGCCAACAGCCCCATTCGATTCATCTACTTTCAATTCTTGTGTCTATTTTTACTTTATTTTTTTTCCTACTGATAGGGACAAGATGGTTACTAAGAAAAAACTCACCTCTTCTTTCTTCTTGTTTCCACCACTCCAGAAACCTCATAAATACATGTTTTTTTTGTCAAAGAGTAGTAGTTCTATCAAAAAAAAAAATACTTGCATTTGTTCCTAAGATGACATGACTAAATTATCCACCAGTTTATTTCTAGCTGGCCTTCATTGGTACATGCACTTCCTCTAAAGAGAAGAAGAGAAAAACAAAATTAGAATTTGGGTTAAGGTTTTTTTTTCTTTTTTTGGTGGGTTCCAGCTTTGTTTTTGTTTGTGATTAGAATATTATGGATCGATGAACTCACCTGAGGCTGAGCTGTTTCTTTGTTTGTTCCCCATTGATGCCTTCAAGGGTACTGTTTCTCATTTTACTTTCTACATTTGAATAGTGTTCCAAGATGGTTGCCAGTTCCATGTTACAATTGTGTTCTAAATGATCATCTGTCTATTGCAACCAGAGCTTTGTGATGCATTTGTTTTTTTTTTCTACCTGCACTGGGTTTGTTCTTCCCTGCAAATATTTACATAGTTGTCAACCACCTCTTGTCACAGCATGGTCGAGTCTGATTACCTCAGCGTGGGGTTTCCATGCCCCTCCTCCCCCAGGCTGGACCCCCCCTTGAGTGAATATTTTCAAACTTGCTCCAGCAGACCAAGACGGTCAACAGGATCCCCCAGTTGACCATCACCACCACCAACACCAACAAAAACTAAAAAAAAAAAAATCACACAACAACAAAAACAAACAACTAAAAAACAGGAGAAATACAACGATGTCTTTCTCACCAGCACCATCAACCCTCAAGCGAAGCTCATCCACCTCATCATCATCAAACGGACAGAGCGAGCTACCCGAAGAAACCCAATCTGACGACCAGCAACTCACAAAACAACCTACTCAACTCATCCATCTCCTCACCCAACCCGATCCACTCCAAACGAACTACCCCCACCCTAGGACTCTTCCCTAACTCGATCTCTCAGTCTCCCTCCTCCCCCAACTCCATAGGATTTGGAAAATCTTCCTTCCAGAACTTCGGCAGAGTTGGTGATCACTCCCAACATCCGTCCCCTGGGATATTCAATAAAAGTAGCATCAAGAAACCTTTCCATCATCAGCTCTCTCATCAACAATCTACTGGAAATCAAACCTGTAAGGACTGTTCAGAAAGCAAAAAAGAAAATCTCTAGTTTTTTATGTATAGAAAACTAACTGTTCGTTCATGCACAGTTCAAAATAACAATAATAATCAAACCAACCGACCCAGAAAACTAGGATCCTTCAATTCATTGGCAGCCCATCATCCCACACCACCGACGCCCCCATCAGCTCCTGCTTCGACGACGACGGCGATAAACAGTGGGCTCACAACACGAGGAATAAGCAACAAAGATGAGAGAGATTCGGAAGAGAACGAGCTCGAGGAGCGATCCGAGCTGGTCTCCGATCCTATCCATCCCACCCTTGATAGCTCTCTCGGGCCCATCATAAACTGAGATCTAAATGGGTATTCTGGCTCTTACATCGGCCCCCTCTCTAAGAAAATCTCTGGAGAAGAGTACGGCAAAGCTATGCGGAGATTAGGCTCCTGTGACACTGTATGTGTTCCCTATCCATCCCCTTCCCTAAATGGCTCACAAGCTGATATGGTCGCTTGAACAGGTGGAGAGCTTTTACTCGTTGTATTTACACATCAAGCGGCCCTCGAACCACCAGCCGATCTCAGACTTGCACATCTTTGTCGATCCGATCAAGCCAGCATGGGAAGATCCGTTGAACGTTCGAGGCGGAAAATGGACGATCCGGTTGAAGAAAGGCTTAGCGAACCGGCTCTGGGAGACCTTGATCCTGAGTCTCGTCGGCGGCGGGCTCGAGAAACTGATCGCTAATCCGAATCCTGATCTCGACCATCTCAACACCTCCCCCTCAGACGAGAACACTAACAACAACAACAACGAACTCAGTGACTATGCAAGGGAGATCTGTGGCGCCGTGCTTAGTATTCGGAGGGATGAGGATATCCTCGCTGTGTGGCATAAGACCGGAGCTCCTGAAGTCGGCGGAGACGGCAAGATGGCCAAACAAGTCAAGTTCAGTCCCCCTCCCTGCCTCTAAAAAGATTTTTTCTTTTCTTTTTCTAACCACTTTACTATTTCTATGACAGATTGGCACTCCAAACGGTCTTACAATTGCCCTTGAATTGCAACTTGGTATATAAGTTAAATGCCGATTGTTTGTCGTCTACGAACGGCGGAGTGAGCATGACGACGATCGGCCAAAACATCCAACTCAATCCCTACCACAACAACAGCAATAATAATAACAACAATCACAACAACAATCACAACCACAACCATCATCATCATCATCAGGGACAAGGACAGAGTAATAAGACACATTATAATCCGAACCATCATCATCTTAAACAACAAGCTCACCGGGCATCTAATTTTAATAATAATAATAATAATACCCACCACCACCACTCGGCTGATCTTGCGAAAACTTCCTCGCCGTCCGCTGCTGCGATTTCGCCTCACCCGTTCGCCGTCGGGTTGAGCTCGTCCGTCGCACCAGCTGGAGCTGTCGATCTTACTCATCCTGATCCTCATTCTAATATTAATCATCGTCATAAAGATTGATCAAGTTTTTTTTTTCTTTTTTTCCCAAAAACAAGAACAAAAGAAATTAAATCAGATCTTCATGCTTTTTTTTGTTAGTTAGTTAGTTGGTTTACAATTCACACTTCAGAAAAACATTGCTTGTTCTCTTGGTCTTTTCATGTTCATTTTCATATACATCTTTTCTTCTCACCAAATACAAAGAAGAAGAAGAAGAAGTAAACAAACAAACAAAAGCAGGGAAAGGAAAGAATGCTTGGTTAAATGATCCCCCTTTGCTGGCCTGTTTTTTGTATGATGTACTTCATTGCCAATATCCATGTTCTCTGTCTATCTCCTCTATCTTCCCTTGGTTTGACATTCACACACACACACTTATGGACATTCTGGTTGGTTGGTGTATGAGTAGTATGGGTTGAGATGGTGCTCTGGGGTGCGGTGGTTGTGTGTGGATGGACGAGTCTTCATTGCAACTTCAAGAAAACATCTATGTATGTATGGCCAAGGTTTTGAGAAGAAATGGCTGCATGGATGTGTCACCTGGGGCCAAGTCTCCAAGAGGGTGTGAATGGATGAGAAAATGAGGAGCTCATTCTCACACACTGGATCCCAGATATATGTGCATACCAGACCATCTGTGAGATGTTGTGAGTGAACAGAGCTGTGATAGGGGAGGATGGATACATATATGGTCTTGCAAGCGCGTCTGGGCACAAACCCAAGTCCCGCTTGGCCAATAGCCACTGGGGGTTTGATTTGTGCCCAGAGGGCTTGATCATGCGGGTTGTGCGGGGGGTGGGACTTGGCACATAGTAGAGATGTTGCTCAATACCCGGGTACCTGTAGCGGGTGCGGGTACCTGCCTCAAAAATCCAATATTTTTGACACCCGCGCCTGCTAGGGCCGCCAGGGCAGGCACCCGGGTACCTGCTCCGGGCACCTGCAGGTACCTGGCACATTTTTGCAGGCAAATATACCCAGAAATCTCACCCTTGAATTTCTGCATGACTTGGTAAATATAAGATTGATATTCACTAGATATATGAGTAAGAATAAAAGAAAAATAAAGAAATAAAGAAAAACAAATTATTCTATCACCAATTTGAATTTTATCTTCTCTCTGATCTATCTTTAGCTTGGCCTCATTTGTGTTATTCAATTTCCTTTGATGAAGACTGTACACTGTCTTTATGACTGGAGGAATTCCTCCAGTCATCAAGACTGTAAACCATCTCAAAGGCTGGAGGGAACCCTCCGGCCTCAACAAATCAACCAGATTAGTTCAGCAACACATGTAGAACACCAGCTGGTGTCCTACATGGGTTGCTGACACCTTTGTGCAGCCCAACACACCCAAAAAAGGGAGTGTTGGACCACCAATGATAAATTAAATTCTTCAGGGGAAGCATTCCCAGGGCAGATGTAAGGCAGGTACCCGGGTACCTGCCTTTTTTTACCGCAAATGTTGACACCCGCACCTGTTTTTACTGCAAATGTTGACACCCGCACCCGCACCCAGTACCTGTTTCCGGGTACCTGCTTTGGAAAACAGGTACCCGCAAACGGGTACCGGGTACCTGCTGACATCTCTAGCACATAGCCAAGCCCCGCTGGGCCAATATCAACCTCTTGGCACATAGGATCATTGGTCATCAACTCATTGACCAAGACCAAGCTTGGACAACACAACACCACCACGACCACCAGTCCTGCTGGTGCTGTTGGTTGTTGGTTGTGGTTAGGGTTTGAATTGCTTGAGACTGAAGCCAGTCCGACGAGGTTGAGGGGAGTAGGAGACCGCTGCAAATGACATGATTCACGATGG